CTCCTCTGCTAACTATTCTGAAATTTAAATGAATTCATGGTCTATACCTACATCCTTATTTATTGCTTCTTTAATATCTTTGTCATCTCCAGGGAGTTAAAACTCCGTTAAGTGCCAGGTTTGAGTTCCCTTTTATAACCAATTTCTATGTTATATGAGGCTGCTAGGTAGAGAAGTGGATAGTGTGTGGGGCCTGGAGTCAGGAAGACTCATCTCCCTGAGCTCAAATCTGGCTCAGACACTTAATAGCTGTGTGACCTTGGGCAAGTAACTTAACCCTGTTTGCCTAGGTTTCCTCATCTGTAAAATGAGCTGGAGAAGGAAATGGCAAACCACTCCTGTATCTTTGCCAAGAAAACCCCAAAAAGGGTCACAAAGAGTTGGACAAAACTAAAATGACCGAACAATGTGCTTTTGCCTTTATATATCTTGCCCTATCCCCCCACCCCTTCCAGTTATGCCTTATTCTTAGAAGTACCAATTAAAGAAGGTAGTTAAGAGGGATGAAAACAGTACCTCAAGATAGAAATTAAACTATGTCTTAAATTGTGTTTTTCTATTTTACCTTCTGACTTCTCCATAATCAATCCCTTTCCCCATTGGCTATATCAATTTTCATGTCTAGATCTATGTACCTTCCCCACTGATAAAATCTTCTGGACTCTAGCACCACCTAGGAACTCACATTTCTCTTCTTCTGGGGCAGATGTTCAAAAGCGCACAGTATTTCTAAGAATAAGTGTCTCAAAATACTAAATTCCATCACATTAAACATATCATTAACATATATTAAAACCATCAGCAAGTCTCCATTTTGGCATATATTGCTTTCTTTTTGGGAGTACTCTTAAGTGGGACTCCCTGCTTCCTACTAATAAACTTCCATTCTCCTTTACGCCCTTTTCTTGTTGAGACTACAGGAATTACCATCCTTTTATTGTTCAGCCATTGATTTGATAAGGATAGAGGTATATCATCTATTCTTTTCTTATCGCTGCCTCTTGGGAGGCCTCTCCCTCTCCCCATTTATGTACCCTCCCAATCTGCAATTTTGTCTTACAAAAAACGAAACTGATTCACCTGTAGGGAGTTGTAGATTTAGTTCCAGGTTCTGCTTCTAAATCTTCACTAATCCTTTTTCAATAAATTTTGCTTATAGCTTTATTCCTTTGAATGTTTTAGCTCTTGATAACCCCCCCTCCCCTTTTTAAAAAACTCCATAAGTTAGCCTCTCTCTTTAGAAAAACAAAACTTCAAACAATGGGGTAATTTATCTTACTACTTATTTTCCTTAGTAATTGTATTTATTTACCTTTTTGTGTTTCTGCTGTATGAGGTGTTTGTAAGTCAAATATTCTGATTATATGTTTCTTTTGGGTGGTAGGGTGGGCATGCAAGATGCCCCAAATGCCCCTCTTTCATTTAACATCCATGTTTTTTCAGTGATTATTAGGCTCAGATTTGTAGGGTTCTGAGTGAGGGCTTTAAGAAATAACATAGTGTCCTTTAGCTTCTAGTAGACATTTTTTTCCCCCAAGATTTTTAGAAATGGTTATTTATTAGAGAGGTATAGTTGGTATGAACATCTGTCTGACACACTTTTTTCTTTTTCCCTCCAGGACATATAGAGTCTGATGCAAAGTAAGCCACAGCTTAAAGATCATGTTTATCAAAGGGATATTCCATAGCTCTTGGAAGTGCTTGTACTAGAGGACTTAAGATGTTCCCCTTAGGTATAGTCTCGTAGAACCTTGAATCTGCTCTTCCACATGATGTCCAATCTATCCTTGGCTCCTGCTTCAGATACTGACACAAGCTAGTTCTGGGGGGCACTACTGGGATGCCAATGAAAAGTCCAAATCCTCTGGTCATCTAAAGTTCATAAGGTTTTCTTTTATTCATTTGGGAAATAGGGAGGGAGAAGACCAAGTCCAAGGCACTCTCTTCTATCCCAAGAGATTCCTTCTCAGGGAGCCTGACAGAAAAGATCCCCCTAAGCAAACAGATGCTTTAAAAACTCAGTTCTAAGCTGGCTCACCATTTTAAGATGAACCACCAAGTTTCCTCAGCCAACTTGAACACACCCAAGCAAAAATGATGTAGTTCATCCAATGGTTCAAAAACATCTTCGCTTGCCAAAGACTTTTTTGAACTTAATCTAAAGATTATGATTGATTCAACAGAGAAGAGACTTCACCTAGTTATCAGAATGTAGGATCCTGACACTTTAAATGAGGCAGGGTAACTTGATTCACTCCATTGCCCCCAATCTAACCACAATGAAATTTTTTTAAAAAGTTGACTGCTCCATGTATGGCAGGTTTCTTGTAAACTCTGAGAAAAGGGTCTTTATTTATTAACTAACTAAATTATTTCTGTATCTGCTCAGTCACAAACCCAGATATCTTTGTTCAAATTTTCACAAACTTTTCCATTCTCTCATTCTAATATCCCAGAACTCAAAAGTTTGGCCTGAAGTAGTCTTCTCCGAAAAAGTGTTCCCCAACAATCTAGAAGGTTTTGGTCTAAAATACCTTGATTAAAACATAATAATTTGGCCCCAAATAGCCTATAGAACAGCTTAACTGTTAAACAGATTCACCCTAAAAACCTGGTCATCTACATCCACATAAAGGCTTTGGGGGTTAATCTTTTCATAGAGCTTCTTGTTGTTGTTCAGTTGTTTCAGTTGTGTACAACTCTTCATGACCCCATACCGAGGCAAACAAGGTTAAGTGACTTGCCCAGGGTCACACAGCTAGTTAGTGTCTGAGGACAGATTTGAACTGAGGAAGATGAGTCTTCCTGACTCCAGGCCTGGTGCCACCCACCCCACTCTAAACATTCAATCTTCCATATGACTGGCACACATTATCTAAGAAATATTAATAGCATTTTAAAGATAGAGATAATTTTATTTCCATAAACAAACCTTTTACTACTTTCTTTTGAAGGTTTGAATAACCACTATTTCCCCAAATATCAGGAAAAAGTAAAAAAAAAACAATATGGTTTTTTTTAGCCTAATCTTCTGTCACTTAGTTTGAAGTTTAAAATTGTAAGCCAAAGTGAAAACCAAGGACTTTGAACAAAGATCAAATACAAGATAAAATTTTGATACCCTTCCAAAGAGGATTCTCTTTCATAAATTTTTCATAATTTAAAATCAAACTTGCTCAAGTTTCATGAAGACTCCTGATGGAGAAAAATGACTGGTTTGCCATGTGCTCCTCCTATTTTAGCCTTGTTATTCAGAAGAAAAATAAATTTTTTTTTTGCTTTAAATCTGTCATAGCTGCTTTTGTATCATCTGCCTCAATGCAGACATGATACATTCCTCTAGCCTTGTTTTTCTGCAGAAAGTCTTCAACTGTACTTTTCTTAATTAGATGCAGTAGTTACAACTTGTTATTTCTGAATTCCATCAACATAGTAGAGAAGATGAACCGTCTCACTTACCTGGGCGCCTAGCATATTTTTACACTTGGCCATCTTCAAATTATGTACTGCAATTATTATATGAGTTAGTCTACCTAGATTCCACAAAGTGGCTGAAAAACTTTGAGACAAAAAAAGTTCTTACTGATGGAGTGAAAGCATGAAGTTTGGTGAAAACCTATAGCACCTGTAGATGTCAATACCTGAGTTAAGATTCCAAAACTAATTCAGAAGAGTTACAACTTCAGCCTCTCTTAACTGAACTCAGCCTTTACAGGTCAGCACAGGATTTTCATACAGTTCCTCCTCTTGCAACCACAGCTACAGCTGAAAGCCTTTGTACAACCTTCTGTACATGTGCCATCTTGAAGGAGTAGAGGAGGTAGCCTTATTAGATACTCTTTATAAATTAGAATGACCAAAAAAAAATTGATCATCTAGTGGCAAACCTGATCATAAGCCTCTCCACATTTAGATGGATTAGCTTTTAGATGAAAGGCACATAGTCAAGTGATGACATGTAAAATTTGCATTTTGGTAGGATCTATCAGAGCTTGTGCTCCCCTGGTCAAGCTTTTGAGAACTCACAGAAAGTTGGTTGCCAGACCACTTAGGGTAATAGATGATAATTTTTTTCAGTTACCAATGACTAGCATCTACTAAGGCAAAGAAGGGTTGCAAACTGAATTGTTGCAGGGAACAGGCACACAAATGAAATGATATATCCTTGAAGAGGTCATGGGAGAGAAAAGGCAAATAAACTTTTGTCCACAAGAAAATAATGGAGTAAGTAAGTAGAAGAAAATCACTCAAAAAGTGATATAGAGCCCTATTAATTCATGTAATAGATAACAAGTATCTTTTATTATGACCTTTGTTCTGTACAAGACACTGTGAGAGATATAAAGAAGTATGACAGAAAATCCCTGACTATGTAGCTTATTTACAATCTAGTTATGTTCAAAAATGAAAAGATTCAAAAGTACAAGATGATGTACAAAGAGTGTATTGTAAGTTGCCAAATCAACATTATAGGCAAAAACAAGAGTGCAGAGGACAGAAAGATCACTCTAAGTGGCACTGATCATGGAAGGTTTAATGGAAGAGATGGAAGCTATGTATTGAAGAATGGGCAGGACTAAAATAATCAGGGAAGCCAGGAATGTGATCTAGATTCAGGGTCAAGAGAAATTCAGTTTTAGATATGACGAATTTGAAGTAGTGGAAACATCCAGTTGGTAAACTGGGAATGCACACCAGGAGTTTAAAGGAGAGGCCATGGCTGAAAATAAAGGGATATGAGTCATTCACAAAAAAGGAAAAATGATTGGATCCAAAATCTGCAAATGAATTTCAGTAACTTGTTTAAGACCTCATTATATGATGAAATGCAACTGTGCATTTCAATTTAAAAGGGAAGCAAATTATTTTGATACCAAAACATTGTGTTAGGAAGACATAAGCTTTGTAATATGTAAGAGCAAAACTACCTCATAAAATCTAATATGAAGTAGGCCATTTAATTATTCACAATATTACAATGAGAAAGTCTATAGACTCACCTTCATACATAAGTTTTGTCGTACAATAGTCATCGGATTCTGTTAATGCCTCATCCTTATCCACCTCCAAGAGGTCAGAAAGTCGTGTGATGGACACCTCCAAAGAACAGAGTGAACCTGTTTTACAATACTCTGTTCCTAAAGGAGGGAATATCTCAGCTTTCACATTATATAATGTCTGGGTGAGGGAGAAAGATACAGAGGAAAATTAATTAGCTATTGTTAAGAATGAATTATACTTAAGACGCGCTCACCTGGATAATGAGTTATGTGCAACTACTGAATGCTGCAAATTGTTTTCTAAAAAGGAGCACCGATGAGGCTATAAAGTGATCAATGAACACTTTGAAGCTAGTTATTTTACATGTCTTTTCTTATAGATGAAATACCTTTATGACACCATTACTACTAAAGAACCAATTCTAAATTAACTTCTCACATACGATTAATATATTAGCATTTTCAGAATGTCTATCACTAGAGAATAACTAGAGAATCAAAACTTGTTTAAGGTGATAATGGGTTCATACTCTGACATTCACTTTTGGGGGTCAGTATGCTCAGACGAAAAAAGGACAAGCCTTTTGAAGAAAGAAAATCAGGCTGTCTGAAGCCTCAAGTCAGGTTAAAAAAATTTGCAAGGATTTATAAGGATAACTAAAATCTAATCTTTTAGCAATGTATACACAGCTTTTATAGGTAAATCTACGATAATTAGTTTTGATCATCTGGAAGGGGGAGGAAAGAGTAACTCAGTTGTCAAGGTAGTTTTCTTCTAATACAAAAAGCACTTTTTACATGGATTTAGACAGTGTTTTGAATATATATGGACACAAAGGACAATGATGATAGGGATTTTTCGCTGCCTAGAAATAAGCACATACAGGTAGACTGTGTAGGAAAGAAAAATTTATATGAAAAATAAGATGTAAGAAAGGTAATAAAAGTCAAGAACATTCAGAGATAAGAATGGCAAGGAAGTAATTAATATGCTCTCTTTGATAACCTATTAGGAAGTTATCTGGAAGCTAATTTATGCTTTCTAATTAAAGAGAAAGAAAAGAAAGCTTGGATGCTGTGAAGCTCTCAAAGCACTATTAGAGATAAAGCCAGAATAAGCACAGACTAGGAAGCTCTGATCCTAAAATTAACAAATTAAGAGAATACAGCTAAATTGCTATTTTCTCATCAAACTGATTTTACTACTTAATACTTACTAGCTTGTGGGATTACCTAAATGGTATCTGTTGAGACTAAAGTTGTGAATCATACTCAAAATTCTCCAATACCACTTTCTGCTTGATATACATATGGATGCTCACCTGCTGCAGCAACTCAAGCAAGTTTTACTGTTTCTGAAGCATTTTTCTGCTTGAAGAATGACTACCAATATTTTAAGTTCACTCATTAGCTAATATTAAGTTGGCTTTTCAGGAAGGAAGCGAGAGAAAGAAGCTTGGGAGGGAAGAGGAAAATCTGGTAATGGTAACATTTATACAACTAACTCTCACATTAAAACATACTATTTGGCAACTGGAAGATAAGGTAAAAAATTAAGCTATCATGGACTCTGTGTGTGTGTAGATATGTATGTATGTATGTATGTATATGAACTGTTTAGAAAAGTTGGCTCTTACTGGTATAGATCTACATTAGGAATAAACAAAATGAATGCATACAGAGCTCAATTTCATCTCTTTTGGTCACTGCTGTCTTACCTTAGAACATTTTGTAAATCCTATATGAATATGACATGTCATTATTGATCCTTAGATTAGTTCCTTTGAGCAAGATAAGAAATACATTTAAAGTTCTTAAACTTTGTGTAAATTTCAATTTTCCTTTGTGTTCATTTTTTTTCCTTTTCTGTTTCAGGAAATATGTTCAAGTTTGTGTCTATAAACATAAATATGTGTGTGTGTGTGTGTGTGTGTGTGTATATATATATATATTATATATAATATATATATAATATATATATAATATACACACACACATATTACATATACATACATATGAGTGTATATATGTATGCATTCTGATATAATACTTAATCAGTCAACCTATTAAATATCTCTTTTAGGGAGAAAAGCATCATGAATAACCTTAATATTATTTTGGCCACCAACTACAAGTTCAGCCCTAAGTCATTTATGAGTAAATGACTTGATAAAATAACATTTGCAAAACAAAATTTTTTTTGGTGAGGCAATCGGGGTTAAGTGACTTGCCTAAGGTCACACAGCTAGTAAGTATCATGAGTCTGAGGCTGCATTTGAACTCAGGTCCTCCTAACTCCAGGACTGGTGCTCTATCCACTGTGCCACCTAGCTTGCCCCTCATTTGCAAATATTTTAAATAGAGCCTGGATTTTTAACATAATAATTAAAAAATATCTTCATGATTTTAAAGCTCTTTCTGGAATTACACAACTTAAGCTAAAAAAGAGTCTGCAATATTTATATGAAAAAATTATTTATTCAATCCTTTGCAGAGGTGGGAAGGTCTATGAGTACGGACAATAACATAATGTTTCTTATTTTTTTCAATGTATTGATTGATTATGCTGACTTTTTCTCTTCTTCCTCTTTCTTTTAAAAAACATTCTTTGTTACATGGATCTCTGGGAAGAGAGACAGAGGAAAATTTAGGTGATGTAAAAAGAAAAGATATCTATCGATAAATTTTATTTAAAAAAGAAATAAGTATTTGAGTTCTTTAAAGAAGCAGTAAAGGCTGTTTTAAAATACATTTTAATAAACTGACATAAACAGAAGCTAACCAAGATTAATTGTTTGAACTATTACTATATAGTATTTAGATGTATTATAGGAAAAGTGTCTGGAAATTAAAGTCAATGATAATATATTCCAAGTTAACATGAATAACCATCACTTGTCTTATAGTACTTTCTGAATAAAGCTTGTATATTACAGGCGGACAGCATATAGAATGTATACAGCTTAAGGAATTTATACTCTAACCAGAATACTTTTGAAAAAGTAATTTCTTTTCCATATATTTTAAAATATTATCCCTTCCCAAAATCTTCTTTAAAACACTGTAAAGTACATATCAATATAATACCTACAAAAAAATTTTCCACTTGGAACTCATAACTATACGGTTTTAAGGAAATGGACCGGTCTTCAGAAGCTGGATAAAAATCAAGTGAAAAGTGACAATGCATAGAAGGTGGAAGTTCCTTTGTCCACATTAGCTCCCACACAAAGAACACTGATTGCTTGCTGTAGATGTGCTGAAAAAAAGTGATAATTTTTTATGAACAATTTTGAAAGTTTCATATATAACAAAATTAGCCATTCCAGTTTAAATTAAACACTTGTTTTATTCATAGGCAACATTATGGTTTTTGTTTTTGTTGTTTTAAACTAAGGCCTTCTTTTATGACATACCTATATGTATATGCTGTTATTTGGTTCTGCATCACCCACCACTTCCTTTGCATCCTCCTGCCTGGCTGTGCAGAATACTGCACAAACTGGTAAAAAATGGTTTAATTTTTTATGATTCCGTAAGCTACAAAGCAGAAGGGATCACAAAATACAATAAAATAATTTAACAAAGTGTGGCAGCCCACCATACACTTCCACAATAGGGTAAAAATGATCATTCTAACAAAGTTGACTTTAAAAAAATGTCCACAAAGTATATGCTTACATTTATGCCAATTATTTGATATGCAACATCAAGTTAAAAAAAATAAGTAGAACTTAATTTAGGGACTGTGCAATAGCTTTGCATAAAGCCACAATTAAAGGTAAGAGGGTAAAACTACAAAGTTCTGATGTTCAGAAATAACTTAGGGAGAAGCTTTTCAAAATGCTAAAAAGATATATTTATAAAAAAAGACATAAAAAGCTTTTCAGTTTCCCCACCAAACAAATACCAAGTATACTCTAAAAACACAGAAAAAGATCAGCAGAAGCAAGGTTAAATGCAGCCAGGCAGTGTGGACAAACACAAGTTTCTTTGACTGAACTATTGTCATATGTGAATCCTCACTTTTCATATAATCAGCTACTCTTAACTCCAGCCCTTTCAAGCTAGAGAGAAAAGGCATTCCAAAATATAACATATAATGAGAGTACTCATGTAGATAGTATTCAAGTACAAATAAATATAAACTGATATCAGGAGATCTAGGTAATGATTTTCCTCTTCTCCCTATGTCCACAGTATATCCACAGAAAGGGAACAAAATGAACTACAACTATATGCAGCTACAGCATGTTAGATAAAATTCAGGGAACTAAAGCAAGTTTGACTATTTAATTACTCACTAATAAGATTTTTTCTTTCTTTGTGTTATTTCAAAGTGAACAAACATTCACAGAATGCCTCTCACGGTCTAGCACTTTACTAATCAAGGGCACCACAGAAGGAGAAGACTAGTGGCTCATGCTGATGTAGTTAGTACTTTACAACTGACAAAGCATTTTCCCTAAAACAGTTTTGTAAGGTAGGTAATAAAAGCAGTAATGTTCTTAGTTTAGAGATAAGGAAAAAGAGAGGCTAAATGAATGACTTTTCCAAAGTTGTGTAACATTGCAAACTTAGACCCTACACTTTACAAGCTTCAGCTTCACCCCGGTTATTTGGCTGAGAAAGAAAAGCAGAGTTTGAGAAAAATTTTACCTGCTGGCACTTAGCGTTTAATGGAACTAGTTGCAGCTCTGGGCTATTACCAGTATCTATAAGGTTACTATCTGACAGCTGGAAGCCAAGTTCTGACAAATTCTGGACACAAACTTGAATATATTTCCTGAAACAGAAAAGAAAAAAAAAATGAACAAAAAGGAAAATTAAAATTTCCACATAGTTTAATAATTTTCCTTCTGTCTCGCTAAAAGGAACTAATCTAAGAATCAAGTAATAACAACATGTCATATTTATATAGGATTTACAAAATGCTCTGAGGTAAGATAGCAATGGTGAAAAAAATATAATTCAGCCCTATATGCATTTATTTTGTTGATTCCTAATATAGAACTATGCCAGTAAGAGCCAATTTTTCTAAACAAGCTATTCTGATGTCTTCTAAAACAGAACATGAAATATTCTCCCCATCTCCCTGCTTCTTCCATCACACCAACTCAATTTGTATTATCATGCCAAACCTCACAAGTCAGTGTTAATAAGTATTCCAATGAACTATATTGGAAGGAAAACAGAAGTAGAATCTCTTCAAATTTTAAGGATTCACTGAGGAACTCAGATTTCAATTTAATTTCAAAATGAACAAAACATTTATTACAGAGCACTCTGTTAGGCACTAGGCAGAGATAAACGGTTTAGCTAAAACCTAGTGCTGACCTCAAAGAGCTTATAGTACATATCATGGGCTAAAATAACCACATAGCTAGCTATAATCCATAATATTTACAATGAGAGGGTTATAAGACAAAGTGCTCACATGAGGTCTGTGAAAGAAAGTAATTTTCAACTTGCAGATTAGGGAAGACTTCTGGGAGGTGGCTGCATTTGATTTGGGTTTAGAGGAAGAATAAGAATTCGAAAGGTGAAGACAGGGAGAGAGGGCATTACAGGCAAAGAGAATGACTTGAACAAAAACAGGAGACAGAGAGTAGCCCATTTTAGGTTGGAATGGAGGATAGAGTATATGGAGGGCAATAATATGGGAAAAGGCTAGAAAGGTAGGGTGATGGCAATTATATATAATAAGCAAGAACTATGAAAGGTAAGTAAGAGTACAGAAAAATTTCAGTATTTCTTTTAGAACGGTTAGTATCAAGGTCTATTCTATGGAATTAACAACTTAGTTCTCTAGTCTTTGAAGATGATTTTTAAAAAAAGTTTCTATTTCATGAGAAGTAACTTGATGTAACAGAAGGAACATTCAGTTTGAAGTTAGAAGACCTGGATCTGAACTGTGGCTTTACACTAATTGTGTGACACCTTAGACAAATCACTCCACCCTTCTGGCCTTCAGGGTCCTTTAAGCTCTAATTCAAATGAGCATAATAGGGTTCACCATGGAGCAAAAAAATGATCCTCTAATTCAGGTTCCTACAAGTAACTAGGTATGTGTAGTTTATTTTTTTTCATGTAAAATCAAAGTACACATCTGGGCCTAAAAAGAACATAATGTGGCCTTCACACATTGCACAGATGTGAGCACCTATCATTCACATTTGTATTACAAAGGCTAAAAAAAAAAACCACAAGAAAATGTTAATAGGTTGGCCTTATTTGACAGATTTTACATTTGAGAAAAAATTTTTGGTCCTCTCATGTAACACAAGATGCAAAGTCCTGATTTTTAGATAATCTGTGTGTCAGCTGGAGAGATCTGGGACCTCTTCATTAGCTGATAAGGCATGGTTTTAACAGCCTCAGTTGATTCAGTTCATAAAATCTTTCAGGAAGAGCACACAGAAATGTGATATCTTTTTTTTTTTTTTAAACAGTTCATTACTCTTACCTGAGTTTTTTGGAACTAGAAACACCTATCATTACTACTTTTCCAAAACATGAACAAAAAAAGTACAGAAGTATGACAAATATAAGGTGATTGTTTGGAATTAAAAACTGAATGATGGAATTTTGCCTGAAATAAACATTTGACACATCTAGAATATTATGATGTTCAGTTCTGAGCACCACGTTTTAAGAAAGACATTTAAAAATGAATGTGTCCAGAAGATGGTGGCCATGTTGGTAAAGGCTGGAGTAGAAGAAAGAATTGAGAATCGGGGTACAGATTCAAACCCCTGGTTTAATTACTTACTACCATGAATGAGTTACTTTACCTTTGTGAGCCTCAGTTTCCTCATTTGGGGGGGGGAAGGAAAGGGGGATTGGACCAGATGACCTCTGAGGTACCTTTTACTTCTAAATCTCTGAGCCTATGATTTTTTGTTTCAGATTTCATGGAAGTTTTATTTTACTTTGGAATTTAGTTATTTTTTTCCTCAAGAAACAAGGTAAAACGAAAGGATTTTGTGAATGAAAAACATCTATACTAAAAGCTTTCAAGCAACTGTTGAACTTAAAATGCAAAGAAGCCAAAATACCTTTTGAAATAAACAAAAATACTGGCTAAGAACTACTTTCCAAATCACTTCCTACACACATAATGAAACCTAATATCCTCTGGTATCTTCCTCAACAATTTCAAAGATGATTAAGATTCTATAAAGTTGTTCTTCTTTTATCTATGGTCATTTGAAAAAAAGAAAAAGAAGGCCCCATTCCTCCCCTCCCTCTTCCCTACAGTTATGCCTGGAAAAACAGTGTCTCCACTTCAGACATTTTGGGAAAAGAAATAAATCATTAATATTTAATTACCGTTTTCCGGCTGACAGCAAAGAATGGGTGGCCTTAAAAGGTATATTGAATGTTAATGCAATAATAGTGGAGTAAATTGACCATGGACAATCAATAGACACCTAAAAGGGGAAAAAATTACATTCATGGTACTCATGTGACTTTAAAAAACACCACCCCTATTCTCCAACCCCACTTATTTTTCATGACTGCAAATATCATCCTTCTGAATGATGGATAAAATCAAGCAAACAAAGCCACCAAAAAAGGAGCCCACAGTCAGATTCATATACAAGTAAAATACATAATGAAATTTGCCAAAACAGTCTTTAAGTGTCACCAATGAGAATCTGTTGTCATCACCAAGTAGCAGCAAGGTCTCCTACCATTACACAAAAATATGGATTAGTGGTTGTTGATACTTGGGTTTGTGGAAAATATTTATTTTTGTCATCACCAGTGGATAGAGTAACCATGGCTAGAGACTTATGTTTATGTATGGCCAAAGAAAGGAACCTTGCTGCTACTACTATTAGGTGAATACAGCAGCCTATTAGCAACCACTGCTTATGAATACATAATACAAAAATAAATTTTTAAAAAATAAGCAGCAGATGACAATCAGAAATCATTCTGTTAGGCTGGGTCCAAAGCACACCAAATCAATCTGAAAATTAGTTTGTCATCCAACTGTTGAGTCGACGTGACACCAAACAGCCACACTGACTGAACCTACCAATTATTTTGGAATCTTGGGGCAAACAGACTACATATGTAAGCTCAAACCTTATTTTTCGAAGTGAAGGTGAGGTCTAAGAGATATGAAAAAGGGGAAGATCTCCTTTAGCCACATTTCCTTGAAGTAATAGAAATCTATTCAGGGAGAAAATTATTCAGCTGACTACATTTGGTCTGAGATAATTATATATGTATGCAATGTAACAGTATGTAAAATGCATATTTTTAAAAAAATCATAATTCTTAACTTTTTCTTCTATTGTTTTGCTGTTCAGTGTTGGCATTGCTCCAAAGAACCACTGCCTGAAAATAGCATATTTATATGAATATGGGCAATTCTAGAACAAAAACTATACCCTAGAAAAGGGCTAACTGAAAGAAAAAAAACGTATATGTACACCCTAACAATTACCACTAATTTACAGGCTGAACTCATTGATGATATCTGGCATGTATTCAGATCTAGAAACTTCAAACTTGGACTTTGTTAAGAAGACTCTACATTAAATCAAACATCATTCACAATTTCAGGAATTACACAAGATCATATATCTAAGGCTGGAAGAGACCTCAGAGGCCATTATCTAATCTAACCCTCTCATTTTACTGATGAAGAAATTGAGGCCCAGGGAGGTTAAGTGACTTGCCTAAGGTCATACAGGTAGTGTCAGAGGCCAGATTTGAACCTAAGTTGTCTGACTCCTGAGTCAGTGATCAAATGTGCTTGATCAAAAAGTTACTAATAAGTAGCAAGGAAAAATTATGTGCTGATGTAAATTCTCTCACCAACTTTGAATTTTCAGTAGACAAAATCAGAACATACCAGGTAGTATCGGCCTGTCATTTTAATATACTAACTAGCAAGGTCACTGTCATGAAAATTACTTGAAAGTGATAGTGCCAGATAGGCATCAATTGCGTCCCTAACCAAACCCCCCAGAATCCTATGTAACTGTTATTCTTCTTGTAGAACTGCTTCCATCCCTAAATCTGTGCTCATTTTGTCTTTTTTTTTTCTTTGTAAGTGGGCTTTCATGTAGCCCCTTAACCAAAGGCTGGAGAGTAACAGAAATAAGTGGAAAAACTCATTCGATGTTGATGGAATTAATAAATCCTCTATATCTTTGACTTCTGTTGAAGTAGTCTTTCAGATTTTGGGTACTTAAGCAATTTAACTGCTTAATGGGAATGTTAAGCAGAAATTACTATCATTTTCATTTCTAATACTTTCAAGATTGTAACATGTTTAAATATAAAAGAAAATGATAAAAAAAAACCCACCCCACATCTTACTTTTTGGTCTAGAGTAACCATGCAGTTACCAGCTTTCTGTTTCTCTTTATTTTTCCTATGAGGGTCTTTATTCCCTAGCTTGTCACTTTCCCCTGAAGTTGTTGGAGCAGAAGGTAAAGAAAGAACCTCCAATTCAAACTCAATCATGTGGTATGCAGGAGCCATCGGCAAACTGACACTGGTGACCTTCTCTGAGGACTGAATCATGAGTGATGCTTCTGAAGATTTTTCTAAAAATGACACAAAATGCAGTTTCAGAATTATTCCTCTGCCTTCATTTTTTCTTTTTCATATTATTAGACAATGCAATAGGGATACAAAGTCATGTTCATGATAACCTCTATTATTAGGGGAGGCCAAGTCTACATAGGAGGATTAAGGGAAAACTGCAAATGGAGGTAGGAGGATGAGACAGCCAAAAGGCAAACACCACTTAAAAAAACAAACAGATGGCACGGACAAGAAATTAGCCATGAAATGGGGAGCACATCACCTCCCTGTCTCAGGCATCAGTTTCCATCATGCCATGATAGAGTCAAGAGAACCAAATGAGAATGTCTGAGAGATTGTGAAGTCTAAAGGTGCTACATAATCATAAAAGGGCATTATTAGTTTTCCCAACTTTAATAAGGAAACGTGGCATGTAGGAAAGAATTTTTAAGGTGCCCACTTAGCCCTTGAGCAGCACTTGCAGTGATTTCCTATTTCAACCACCGTTCTGCTCCAACATAATTATACGCTATCAGCAAACAGCAAATTAATGCCTTTCTTCTTCTCCCCATCAATTCCCTTTAAAGTATATAATAACTAGAGATCTTTTCAGTACATTTACTTTGTAAGCCTATGTCCACAGATAGCACTGGCTATAAAGGCTGATTTTGTAACTCCTTTCATATGTATTTTTTGGTGTTATCTAAGCAAAAAAAAAAATGCCGTACCTTTCCTGTGTATGGAATGTATCTATCTTATAAATTCTGCAGTACAAGATCTTAATTCATAATCATTTGATGGGAATGAGAAGATAAAATAATATTACATCTCAACTAACAACTAGAATATAGTTGTGCAAGTGGAAATACTGTACTTTCACTACATCATGCTGGTCTATGTTGTGGCTGTTCAATGCTTACCTCTGGTGTTAGAATAGATTATTGCTCTATTTTCTGCATGGAACAGAATAAGCATAGCATCTGCATTACTAAGCTGTAGACTGTCCCCATTTTTTATTGTATAATAGCCAGTAGTGACAGTAAATTTGACTTTTTGAGGAATACCAGCTAAAAGGCTGTCTGGAAAGGAAAAAAAACACAAAACAAAATCCAATTATTATATTGGTTTGACTTTAATCTGTCCCTAAAGGCCATGTGTTTAAAATGAGATTTCTATGAAAGAGTATATGCTGGATAACAATGCTGATTATTTGCTATACTAGCTTTTATGCAAAACAGATCTGAAGAGAAAAATAACACCTAGTTTTATTTCTAGATTAAAACATAAGCAAATTAGCAAGTATTAATTTCATAAGTAGCAATACATTTATTCACATAATCCCCCTGCCCTCAAGATCTCTGTGAAAGGGAGAAAGGAAGAAGATGGCAGTCAATGAATATAAATAAGCATCTCACCGATGGAAAAACATCAGCTGCTCACGGGTAGGCCGAGCTAATATAATGACAATTCTACCTAGATTAATTTACTTATTCAGTTCTATACCAATCAAACTACCAAAAAATTATGTTATAGAGCTAGAAAATCTAATACCAAGATTCATTTGGAAGAACAGAAGGCCCAGAATATCAAGGGAACTAACGAAAAGAAATGCTAAGGAAGGTGGCCTAGCCGTTCCAGATCTTAAATTGTATTATAAAGCAGCAATCATCAAAACTACTTAGTACTAGCTAAGAAACTAGCTAAGAAAGAGGCACTAGTTAGGTACACAAGACACAGTGGTCAATGACTATAGTAATCTACTGTTTGATAAACCCAAAGACCCCAGCTTCTGGGATAAGAACTCACTATTTGACAAAAACAATAGTGGGAACTTTGTTTGAAAGCTCTCATAATTACAGGCAGTTCTTGTTTTACATAAGTGGGCAGTTCCACAGGCCTCTATATAAAGTGATTTTTATGTAATGTGAATATGCTAGAGGACATGGGCAAGGGAGGGAGGGAGGCAAAAAGGGGGCTTTGGGCACATGTGGACGCATGGAGCTGGCACATGGTTCAAGGACACGTGGGACCTGGGGACAAAGAAGTCAGAGCAGGAGGAAGAACACCTGAGGGCCTGACTTGAACTAAGAGGAAGAAAATGTGAGGGGCAGACATGTGGGGTCTGGACACAGACAAAGACAAGACAGGATAGATGACAGGCGGGGCAAAGGACAGACACATAGTACCCAAGTGTGGATGAATGGGGAAAAGGTGTTCTCCCTCAATGCTGATGGTCTCAAACTGAGCTCACAAGCTTCCTGTTGTTCTACTTTCACTTAGAGGTTTTCTTTTCTTCTTTTTTTTTTTTAAGAGGATTTTTCTTTTTATTGATGGGGACAGGGGGGTGGAAGGACATGGAACATAGAGCTGAGGGGCAGGAGCAGAGAGAACACAGTATTGTATAGTAAAGTTAACATTTCTTTTTTTTGGAAAGCAGATTTCTTTATGTAAAGTCAAATTTGTATAATGTGAATTTATATAAAGTGAAAATTGTCTGTATTAATATACCAAATAAGGCATAAAAGAGGGAAACACCTTTGCCATGGTGTTTTTCACTGTCAATTAGAATTGTCCAGCATAGAGTCCAAATGGATCCCTTTAAATGGTTTAAAAAAAAAAAGCCTCCCCAAAACAGGCTGAATTGCATTGGCAAGCTGTATATACAGTGTTGTTAATGATACCAAACTTTCTGAAACAATGTCACATCTTTTTAACATCAATACTTTTTCAATGATATCTGTATGACATCATATAAATGATACTGCTACAAATTATGGAATGCCACAATCTCCAAAGAATAAAAATAGTGTATTATTCAAAGGGCAACTGAGAGATGTATGGCAGGAACACGTCATAGCATCTTACCAATGACAAATCATATTTAAGGAGCAATATAAATTAGGACCACAAAGGGAGATGGTTTGGTTATACAGAAGATGAGAAATAAATAGCTTGAACATGGCAATAATAAACACACAATGACATGACATAGAAGGTTACCGGTATTTTGTGTGTAATCCCTTTGGAGGATTTATGGGATGTCATAGGATGAAAAAGTATTGATGGATTACAATTTGTATCACTGAAGGAAATGTTATCACATGGATGAGATCACAGAAGTAAACATTACAGTTCCCATTCTAATCTGAACAAATGGCCCATCCATTCATGAGAACTGATTACATTTCCACGACATTTTAGCTTTTTAAAATTAAAAACTTTTCTAATTTTTCATTAGTTGGTGTTACTAACTCTGAATTAAGCAAACTTCTTAGTCAAGTTTTTATATGTATATATGTGTGCATACATAGCTATATATGTGTATACATATAAACATATGCATATATATACATCTATCCATCCATCCATCCATCCATCCATCCATCCATCCATCCATCCATCCATGTATCCATCTATCACCAAAGACCAGTCAAATGTCAATAAATGTACAGGGAAGGACAATGAACAAATAAGCAAATAACTTCTCTTTTTTCGCTTAAATATTTATTAAGTGAGTTGATACAACTCGTTCAATTATAGATACACCTATATGTACATTTCAATTAAAGAGCTCCAGCTATATCTACAACACAATCACTAACAGAGATAAGGAAATAATTTAAGCATTTTCACTGTAAAGAAGTAGAATCCACAAATTTGTTTACTGTCTTTGGCTATAATAGGCATATCAACATGTAGGCAAGTAATTATACCTGCATGTATATCATGCACACATACACAGATACAGTTTTTATCAATCATTGACATTTATAGGAAATGCAGTTCAGCAAGATAGGAAAGACATTAGGTTTTCTGGTCAGCCTATGCTTCAAACTGCTCAGCTATACTGTCAAAAGCAGAGGCAAAAGAAAAAAACCAGGAAACTCTGAAGATCAAAACAAACAATTTTTAGGCTTATTCTATAATCTTTCCCCCCTTCTTTCACTTCATCTCCATACTAAAAATGATTAGATATCTAAGTATTCTTACCAGTCAATGGTTCCACTTTTAGTTGAGGGTCCTGAGAGTAGACATCATACTGTACTATGGGGTAAATATGAGGAAGAACAAATTGCACTTGGCCTACTGAGGTGCACATCTGCCTGAGAGTATATGTTCCAGGTTCTTTAGCCTAAAATAGAAATGATGCATGACTTGAGAAGCTGTAATAATTTCTAAATTATGATCTTTATAATTTATGTGTGTGTGTGTGTGTGTGTGTGTGTGTGTGTGTGTGCATGCATTCACAAATACATATATGTACACATATACACATACAGATTCTGAGTTGGAAGGTGGCCCAGAAGTCGTCTAGTCCAACCCATTCCTGAACAAGAATCTCTGGATAATGTACCTCTTAAGTAGTCATGTAGCTTATTCTTAAAGGACTTGAAAGCAGAGGGAACTTACTGAGGCAGCCTATATATTCTGGAACATTAGGATGTTTTTCCTTATATAGAGCCTCAATCTGTCCCTCTGCAACTTCTCATTACTTGTGATTCTGTCCTTTGGGATCAAGTAGAATAAGAATAATCCTTCTCCCATGTGACAGCCTTCCAAATGCTTGAAAGCAATTATGTTCCATGCAAAATCTTCTCTTCTACAGGCAAATTCTATTTTCTCGAATAATCACTGGATCATAGATTTAGAGCTCTAAGGTACCAGAGTCCAACTCTCCTACTTTACAGACGAGGAAGCTGAGTACCAAAGAGGTTAAATGACCTTCCCAAGGTCACATAGGTATCAAGTGGCACAGCCAGAATTTTTGGATATTAGCCCCTTTATCAGCCTATTTGCCCTCTTAAACAAGAGCACTTATGCAGGCAAGCATTTAGATAGTGCTTTTTAGTTCATAAAATACATTCTTCAAAACAACTCTGTAAAGTAGGGGTATTATTTTAATTCCTTTTACAGTTTAAGAAATTGAGGCTCATTAGCTTAAAAGATTAAATGATGGATATGAGCACATGACTAATAAATGCTGATCCAAAACTGGAACCCCAGTATTCTGACTCCAACTCTAATGCTCCGTGGTGCCTGAAAACTCCCCTAGGTTTAAGGTAAGTTGAACAGATTTTACTCTGCATTCAGATTTTAAGGTTCCAGGAGTTATGTTTTTAATGTAAGAAAATCCATGATGGATTTGTTCTAGGAGAGTATACAGAAACATTCAAGACGTACTTTAAAATTGGAAAACAAATTGAGACTCAATAAACAAATATTTTTCCTCTCTTTTTGACAGTCTGGCTAATTGTATGTATATTGAAGATATGCTACACAAAAGAGGAAATTTATATACACATGAGTCATAGGAGTATACGTGTGTACAACATCTGGTGAGTAGTAGGTGATCAATGAATGTTCACTGATTGATTTCTGAATGGTTTCTCTGACAACTAATTTGGGTGTTTTTCTGGTAACTGTGTTACCAAAACACTGATTTCTCCCTTTTAGAAAATATAACATCATACTGTTTTTGGATTTCACCTAAGTGTTATATCATATATTAAATAAAGAGAAATTTAAATTTTGTTTTTAAAAATTTAATAACATTTTTGGGATAACTGGAAGACCTCTTAAGGAACAGCAAAAGCAGGGCTGGACAATCCTGAGTGGCTGCATGGTGCAATGAAAGAATATGAGAGCTAGAGCTGGAGGAATGGTTTTCAATATTCAGACTCTGCCACCTGACACTTATGAAATGATTGCCCTGGATCTACATTTTCCCAACTGTAAAATGAAAGGAATGGGCCTCTAGAATACCTTCCAACTTAAAATTTAAATCCAGTTCTAAAACTCACAATTTATGTGCACATACATACAAATAATCTCCACATAATTCTTGACTCACATACATCACTACATTGCAATACTACTGGTAACTAAGACAGTCATCAAAATCTCCAATCTGGTTAATAAATAATACAAATCTTTTAGGATAAATGCCAATTATCAATAGTATGATCTAAAAGGACAAAACCGAAATGCCAGCAGCATTAGCCCTTTATTTCTGAATTGGATCTGTGTTAGTGTAGGGAACTTTCAATGAGGAAACTACTTCTATCAATGTAGATCCACACCTGCTCTGCCGGGGATAATCCTGGAGAGTTACTTAGGGCATGGAAAAGTTAAATAATCTGCCCAGAGCCAAAGAGTCAGTCTGTGTCAGGAACAGGACTGAATCCAGGTCTTCCTAATTCCCAAGGTGAGCTACTTTTTCCATTAGGCCATGCTGCCTCTCAACAGCCTTGTATTAGTAGCATTAAATTCAACTTACCAATTTTAAAACATACCTGAGTTTTGAATATTATTTTATTGACCCCTGGGTCCAGAGTGACATTGCTACATTTTAATATGTGTGCCCCATCCTCTAGAGTCACACCTGAAGGAATTTCCAGAGAGGAGCTGCTTTCTTGCCTTCGTAGTAGCATGTGAACATTTTTACAAATGATCCCTGTCGTGTTCAAGGAGTTATCTGAGGGGCTCCTCTCATACATCTCATATAATTCCAGGGCAGGTGAATTACTTCTGGAGAAAGGAACACTTGAATTCTCATTTGGAAAACTGATAATGCCATTGGATGTCTTGTGCTTGGTAAGCCACTCAGCAGTCTTACGGTAGCTATTTTTCTCAATGCTGAAGTGAACACTGATGGCAATCTGTTCTACTTGGACTGAGACAGGCATTTGGCTTAACAAGGTAATTTCAATAGACAAAGTTCCTCCCACGTGGACAAGAGCATTTGAAGGATCAAAGTGAAGATGTTTTAGTTGTGCGAAGGAATGCATAGACAGTATTACTTTGAGACCTGCAAATTATATATCAAAAAAAGTGGTTTTTAGAGACAGTGATAAAGTAGTCTTTGTCGAAGCTAGAGACCCTGAAGTCAAAGCGATACTCTCAATAAACTAAGTTTAGATCCCAACCCAACCTCATATTCCAAAATGTATGAAGGAAAGTATTATTTTTGTCTTTGTATCCCTAGCACCTAACAAAGTTCTTGGTAGACAGTGAGTACTTAATAAATGCTCATTGATTATTGAAAGCTGAATGGAAGTATAGTATCAGCTACTTGAGATCACATACTTGGAAGACAACATGGCTTCTGAGCTATCCTCTGCCAAATGTAACATAAATACAGATTAACTAATCCTCTTCGCTTAAATTTATTCATAAACAAACTCCCATCTTGGTTTCAGCAATGATTGCATGTGTGTTCCTCAAGTTTCAAGAAGCTAAACTGCTTCTCCATGGTCTTTTTCCCACTTAAAACACTGAGTCTCATTTTTATGACTGCCTGATTTCATGACGAAAATTCCAGTTATATGGATTCAAAAGGCATTTTATATTTCAAGCGCTTTACAACCTTGCCTCCTCCTATCCTTCTGGTCTCCTTATGTCAAATTTTCTTCCACATACTCTATGATCTAGCAATAACAGCCTTCTTTGCTGCTCCTTGCACCCAACACTCCATCTCCATGTCATTTCACTGGCAGTCCTCCATGCCTGCCATGCTATCACTCCTCACCTCTGCATACTGGCTTCCTTTAAGACTTAGCTCAAAAATTCCCTCCTGAACAAGGCCTTTCCCAGTCCCCCCAATACTAGTGTATTCCCTTTAAGATTACCTTCCATCTACTCTGTATATAACTTTGTGTATAACATAAATTTATGTAGTCACTTACATGTTTGTGTCCCCCATTAGAATGTGAACTCCTAAAGGAAAAGAACATGTCTTTGCCTTTCTTTGTATCCCCAGTACTTAGTACAGTTCCTATCCTATTTATTAGTAAATACTTCAACCCAACTGCAAAGAACAAAATCGCATTCTCACAAGAGAATTATAATTAAACAAAGAGTATACAGACTATACTGTATAGCTAATATAACCAATGACTAAGAACTCTGCTTATCTCATTGAAGCTGTTAACCAAAAGTCATGATGCCACAAGATACTGATAGTGGGGCAGGTAGGCGGTGCAGTGAATAGAGCACTGGCCTTGGAGTCAGGAGGATCTGAGTTCAAATCCAGCCCCAGACACTTGACACTAGCGAGCGACTCTGGGCAAGTCACTTAACCCTGACTGCCTCGCAAAAAACACAAAACAAAAAAACAAGATATAGGTAGTAATGTGAATTATTATAAGAGAAAGGAACATGCATATGGGAACTCCTTATACCAAGAAGCCTGCCCCACAGAAGATGCCTTGGATATTAATGGGGTACAGGAAAAAGGGGAGGTCTCGAGTAGAGGGCAATCCCCTCCCAAATGGGAGTGACAAGGGAGAAGGAAGGGAGTAGTAGGGGAGGGGAAATGAGAAGGAGCAGGAGGGGTTAGTAACACTGGATCATGGAGGAAGGATGTTCTGCTTATCTGAAAGGGTCTCAGCTGCACAAATGATTTATCAGTCTGGGTTAGGCTGGCTGGAGCCAGGACCGTAGCTGACTTGGCACTGAGCATTTAACAGAGTTCAGTTGCAAAATATCACTGTGAAGGTAGTTCAAGGAGGCTTCATCTCTAGAAAATAGGGCAACTCAAGAAAACAAGTTCAGGGGGCCCCTTCACAAAGCATACATTAAAAGAAACAGAAAAATTTCAGAGCAAACTGTGGTATTTTCAGAATTTCATCCCAGTAAGATCTGAACAAACAACAGGTTAAATTATCACGCAAATCAGGACTCAAGAAATAAGATCATTAATTAACAAGAAATAGAGCAGGATTCCACTATATTACTCAGAAGGAGGCAGTGAAGTGGAGATAGCAGTAGATTAGAAATCAGAGGACTTCATTTCAAATTCTATCCCTGCCACTTAATTTCTTTAGAAGCTGGGACAAATCATTAAACTTTCATTTGAAGGAGGTAATTTTCCATTTAAAAGATTTTAAAATGCATTACCAGCTGAATTTTACAATTTAATCTGGCCTTACCTGGACTTTCTTTTTGCTGGTTGGCAAAGTTGAGTATTTCTTGGCAAAAATGTTTACGTTCATCTTCTGTTAAGTGACTATCACTGGCTAAAAGGCTGCTTGTCTGAAGGTAGCTGAAAATAGAGCTAAGGAGAATGAAAAGGAGTCCACAGCTATTTTTAAGAATAGTGTTAAAGTATAAATCTGTTTTCTGAATGCTCTGGCATTCATTAAAGTCTAGCCAAAGGTAAGTTATTTCAAGAGCCCATTCTTTACAAAAACAAAACATGAATTCAAATAAAAGATAAATATATTTAAAAGCATTTCCTCCAAAAAAGTATCAGTAGAAAAATAATAAGGATATTAGTCTCATTATCACCAAAAAGCATTGATTCAGTACCTGTGTACATCATTATTTTAAGAGAAAGCCATCATGTGTATTATATAAATACAATCTTATACTACAGAAATAGACAAACTAGTTTTATTAAAGGATACTTTTCAATTTGTCCAAGATGTTTTTGACATTCTGCTAACTGCTTTCTTGTATGTGTGATAGGCAATGCCCAACCCTCAGCCACGTAATTCTTTAATGCATTTTGAAGGTAGACCTCTGCTTTTTGGGGAGACTTTTTCCTCCTTGCAAAGCAAGCAGACAAGAAGTTTAAATATAGTTTTAGCAAAAACAAGTTTGAAAACTCAATTTAAGAACTTCCTCTATCCTTTTCACTCCATATACACCCGTGTCTTTACTTCTTCCCTGAACTGAAGCGGTACAGCATGTATAAACAGTTAATTTGTCCAGAATCCAAGGTTGGGGCATTATGGGTTCAAAAATGATAATAATCCAACTTACACGTGTAAATCATTTTTTAACTGTCAAAAATTTCACATTCATTATCCCACAATAAGCCAGTGAAATAGATAAGACAATAAAGGCCTTCTTATCTTCAACTGACTGATATGGAAAATAAAGCTCAGATTGTTTAAATTAAATTATTTGTCTAAAATTAAATAGGGGTAGAGCCAGGCTCATAATACATATTTTTCTACTTCTAATTCAGTCTTCTTTCCACTATTCCTGATAGACCCCTCATGTGAAGGTGGGGAAAATATCAACCAAGGGGACAAAGTTCAGCAAATAGTAGTTTCCAAATGCCAAAGGAACAATTTCCAGATGTTTTCACATAAAGGTGAGGAATCAGAAGGCAGCACATACCAGGTATCAGCATGCCTAGTCTTAATTTAAACTTAAAATATTGCTCAACCAAAAACCAACCTGGATTTAAAGTGAAACTCTACAAAGTGTGCCAGAAGTGAAGTGGTTCTTGGCTTTTTCTGTAGCACTGGGCTTTCTATAGAAGGTTGAGAATGGGCAGACTTGAAAGTGAGTTGGTTTCCCCTCACTGGAGATCTTTAAAACAAGACCAGATAACCACTCGCCAGGAAATTCTAGTTTGGGCTATGAATTGGACTAGAAAGGCTCTCAGGTCACTTCTAACATTGAGATTTTGTGATCGATAACTTCAAAGGACAAAGAACAGGCTCAGCTAAAGTACGTAACATTCTAGCTGTTTTGGGCAAGTGGCAAAGTCTCAGTTTTGTAATTGCATCAAATAATGAGAAAATGTTCCTAACCTAGGTAATTTTGACAAAGTTTCTCAAATCATCTTTAACTTTTGTCTTTTTCTGTGTGCTAAGTACCAATATCCGCTATGTAAACAGTATCCTGAAAGGGAACCAGTACATTGATGCTCATTATTTGTAGTAGGAATGGAATATTTTATCCTTTTTAACTAGAACTTTCAACGGGAGCTAAGTTCTTGAACAACATTTTAAAGGCACTTCTTCCTGACTCTACTAATTACTTATTCACTGTGTAACATGATCCAGGCAGCAAAATACAGGACAGGACAGTCAGGAGACCTAGGACCTAGTCCCAGCTCTGACACAAACCACTTTGTTAACTTGGGAAAGTTAAAATTTCTAAGCTTCAGTTTCCTTGTCCATAAAATAAAGGAGACTAGATTATTTCTAGTATTTTGCTAGCTCTAAAATTCTGTTTTAGTCTGGTCATACCAGTTATGAAACATACACTCTGAAAGTAAATGATTTTGGTATTGGATTAAAATGTCCATACCACTTGATTCTGGGATATATAGTCTAGAGCTAAATTCCAAGAAGGTCAGTGACAAAAAGAAATGCCCTATATACAAGGTGTCCCAAATGTCTTAGTACAGTTCTAAGCTTTAACCTTTAACAGCTTAAAATTGCACTAAAACATTTGGGACACTATACATGAAAATATTTATAGTAGCACTTTTTGTAGCAACAAAGAACTGAAAACGAAGTAAATGCCAATCTATTAGAGAATGGCAAACAAGTCATGGTTCATGAATGTAATGGAATATCATTAATGTGCTAGAAGAAATAACGAACATTAAGAATAATGAGAAGCATATACTGATTTATGTGAATTGATGTAAAAAGAACCCGGAAAACAATATACCCAATGATTATAATAATGTAAATAGTAATAACAAGAACAAAACAATTGAAACTGAATTCTGCTAAATTATAATGAAGCTAAGTTTAGCCCCAAAAGAAGAGATATCAGATGGCATCTCCCTTGCTTCTTTGTAGATATATGAGATAATGGGTGAATGAGTTATTTGAAGTTATAATTATGCCAAATAAGGTAATTGGTTCTAGCCCGGTGAAAATACGCCATGCAACTTTCAGGAGATTCATTACTCACTTTAACTAAGATCTACCTGTACTGGAAATTTTACAAGGCTTTCTTGATATGCTGGTTAGTTTTGCTCTATTGGTTTTTTTCTTCTTCTTCTATTCATTGTTATGAGGAATTGTATTCTCTGAGGGGATAGTGGGTAGCGAAGATACACTGGAAATTATGATATTTAAAAAAATCTCAATAAAATTTTATTTTTTTAAAAAATAAATGCCAGATTTACTCTTGTATTTCATGCATGCATAAATTACCTAAATAGGCATTTTAAAGGAAACCAAGAAATTGTTTTTCCTATATGATCAACTTGTCTTGAAAAAAGTAAAGGTTTTGAGTAGCCTACAAGCCTTTGGCCTTTTACATTTCAGTTTTCTTTGCCTCTTTATTTTTCAACTTAAATCATATTTTCCAACATACTTTTCACTGTCTTTCCCTATGGCCACTGAGTCACCAAGTATTAAAGTATACTGTGCCTTGTTTTGTAGAACGTTATTAACAATTCTTTGTAGCATTTTCCACTTTATCCTCTGAGATAGATTGTTAGGACATAAGCTGCAGTCATGTTTGTGGGGGTCTTTTTTTGCCTATGTTGATTGTGAATGCTGCAAAGCAAGTTTACTAGGCATCCCATGAAATGATGTTTTTTACTGGATACATTATGAACCCCCCTCTGCAAACTCCTCTGCTTCTTTCCTCAAGGAGAAACTGTGAAACATTTTTCCATTTAGCTGCAACTTTCTTGTCTTCCAGTCACCATAAAAATCTTAATGGTGATATATTTCAATTCTTTTGAATAATGAATAGGGTAATCACTGGACAAAAAAATCTTACGTTTAAAGTATTCATTGATAAGTGAATGTTTATAGACTGTCTAGAAACCATGAGATTCTTAGCTCCCAGCACCCTTTGCTTTCTTTTCAGTCATTCTACCATGGTTACCATGGAAGTGGGATGGAAATGCATAAGACTGAGAGCCATTTGCATTTCTTTTGCTTGGCTCAAGAGTCGCCATGACGAAATAATTGATCAGCTAGGGGGTGATGAGCTTCTTTGTAGTAAGTTGGACCACAGACACCAAACTGAATCTGTCTCAGGACCGCAGCTGAAACCTTTCTAGCTTAGCAAGACCCATCAGTTAACCCTCGTCTGGTAGAACCTTTGAGAACCCAGAGTCATGTCTACCCCATAAGATCAGAGGAGGACTCTGTGGAAGGAAAAGAGGGAAAATGCAAACATGGGGTTAAATAAAATGAAAGTAAGTAACCTCTCTCTTTTTTGCATAAGTGGAAGACTATGGGTGTGAAGTATTGTGTATTTTGTCAGAAATGGATGATGTGTTGGTTATTTTGCTAAATGCTGTTTTGCTCTTTTTTAGTCTTTGTTAAAATGGCTGGATCACTAGATATGGAAGGGAGGGATGGAAATGGAGGCAATATAAAACCAAAGGGTATCAATAAAAAAAGGTAAATATTAAAAAATAAGCCAAAACAATAGCTACTTGCAAGATGACTGGGAGACTCAACTCACTTTCTAATCTCTTTGTGTTGCTTTGCACATATTTCTTTCTTTTCTTCTCCTCCTATATCCTCTTCATTGGTAGTTCAATATACTTCTAAACTCTGAAGGAAAGCTACAGTACTACCCTGGTTCTTCTGCTCAAGAATCAAAAGTACTTAGCCCCCAAACCTGAAATAACATACTTATCTCTTGCTCTTTCAGGAATATAAAAGGCTTCCAGTCTTGATATATTTTTTCTTTCTAAGCAGTACTTTACAGGAACCACAATTATAAGTGATCATATGTTTTTCTAAGTAAGAACCTCAAAGAGAAGTTAAGGTTGCTTAAGGTTATGAGGACCAGAGGTTTACATAAACTACCCCAATTCCTGTTCTATGGTCAAAATGGTACTGAGGAAAAAAAAAAAGAAGGAAATTTTACAGTTTATTACAACAATCCTCTTTCTTCAAAGAACATTAAATGGATAAGTTAATAAAACAACTTTTTTTTTAAAAAATAAAAGATTGTTAAATTATTTTCATACTAAGTCTTATGCTAAATATTTTGCATCTTAAGCCTGCAACCTTTCCACACTTAAATCCTGTAGTTTTCCTGACTTGAAAACTGACCATCTACTTATAACATGTATCAATTTCACTTCCACACAATACTTTGGATTGCCAACTGTGAGACCACATTTTTTATATGACTTTTTTTGCCTAGTGTGGTGTCGTTAAAAAATCCTAAACTGTGAATAAATTTACAAACATATTTATACAACATTATGTATGATCGTATATGCCCAAGTACTGTCAAAAATGGGGGGAAAAAAGGATAAAAATGAATTACATATAAAACTCTGCCAAATCTTTTCCAACGAGCTTGGCTGATCGAATTCTTCCAATACTTGTATACATTTCAATGGTAGCATGAGATAGATCCTGTGTAAAAGGCAAAAAAAGAAACAACCCACAATTATTTAAATTGTTTTGCTATTTTACATTTATTATGTTTCTTTTTTTTTTTAAATTTTTTTTTTTTAGGCAATTGGGGTTAAGTGACTTGCCTAGGGTCACACAGCTAGTGTCAAGTGTTTCATCTGAGTCCACATTTGAACTCAGGTCCTCCTGACTTCAGGGCCAGTGCTCTATCCACTGTGTCATCTAGATGCCCCACTATTTTACATATACATAGCACTTCATATTTTTATAAAGGTTTCTACATATGTATTCCTTTAAGTTGTACTACTTTGTGTAATGGGATTCTCAGTGATTTTCTTTTATAGTTGTCACTGCTCAATAGGAATAAGAAAAAAATTTACATTTTTATGTAAACTGCTGAGTTGCCAAAGAAACAAAACTAAAAATGATTTTGGGTTTTCTTGCCATTTTATGCATATGAATTTACTCATAATTTAATCAGACTTTTTTAATTTAAGAGAAAATTTCAAAACAGTAAAAAGGAGATCATATTCTCTCTCTCTCTCTCTCTTTTTTTGGTTTTAGGCAATTGGGGTTAAGTGACTTGCCCAGGGTCAAACAGCTAGTAAGTGTCAAGTATTTGGTTTGAGGCCAGATTTGAACTCAGATCCTCCTGTCTTCAGGGCCGGCACTCTATCCACTGCGCCACCTAGCTGCCCTAGAGATCATATTCTCAATAACCACATGGATTAACTCATATAAAATATCCTGAAAAAGTTATGCTAAGAGTTTAGCTATGCTAAAAGTTGGTCTATATGCCTAACCAGCCTAAGTCTCTTCTTTAGGTAACATCACTATAAGAAATTCCAGCAAAAATGCCACAGTGTTTTTCATTAATTTATAATAATTTTTATTAGGGCCAAATTATTTCATTTTAGTATGCAAAGTCACATAGCATCTATTCACACTATTACCAATCTATGCCATGTGCAAATATATTTAATGCAGTTAAAAATGTTTAGAGCTGTGTCTAGGGAGATCATGGCATCTTAGATACTTATGAAAAGACATATGAACAATCCATGTGTTTTCTTCCCAACTCTTTAGGGCACCACGAAGCAGCTGTTGATCACTTAATCATCTATAATTCAAATGCCACATCACACACCTCTGTAGGTATATATTAGTGCTCTGAGAGATTACTTCTCTCCATCACAAAGATTTACACACATCTAATACTTACTAAGTAATGTTTCTCAAAAGCTTCTACCGATGACAAGGCCTCCTTGAGTTTCTTATATGGACTCTGTGCAGTTTTGGCTTAAACAAAAAGAAACAACCACTTACTCATCTTCAGTATTTATGTCCATCTGCATCTATGTTTACCCCAAACTAAGCAATGAGGAAACGAAACTTAAAATCCTTCAGGTTTCAGATAGCCTTAAAACTAGGAGCTAAATTAAGGCATCAATTTTAACCAGATAACTTAATGATACTATAGCAATTTCAAGGAATATTTTAGCAGCACACTGAAAACTGAAGTATAATGTTACTGATACTCACTTCCAATTAAAATATTAAAGATACAATCTAAGTCATTCACGTGGTGCTGTATTTCCAGCAATACAATAACGATCTGATTCAGGATGCTTAACAGTATTATAATAACTCTAGTATCTTAAAAGTAGCTAAGTATATGGGACAATTACATACACATGTTTTCCCAATCAGGGCAAAATTTCGTCCTGTCATTAGATAATGTACAATAGATATCTTAATTATTAGCTATACTTGCTGATACCTAACATGTTTACTGATTATCAATGCAAAGTACAAAACTTAAGTATTTGACTGCTACTATTAATAGTATTAGACCAGATCCTATTAAAATAATATGTTTTCCTTTCTAAAGGACTTGAGGTAGCTTTGGGTGAGTGGGGGTGGTGGGATAAGGGAGAGAATGAAGGGAATGCAAAGATTTGATGATCTGTGGTTTCATCACTATATGTATGTAACTTTGTGTGTAGAAACTCCCTGCACCAAATGCAAATCAGCAACTTATCTGTAATTAGCAGTCTCAGAGAACTGCCTAGAGCACTAAGAAGTAACTTGCCCACAGTTACAAAGAGATATCACAGGTAGGACTTAATCCCTGTAGTCCTCCTGACTTGAAAGTTGGCCCTCTATTCCAGGATGGCATGCTTACTAAATTACAATTAAGGGAAATATAATGTTATTTCTGAGAATTAAGTACCATAAGATAGAGCAAATTTTAGGTTACTAGGTACTTTTATTGCATTGTGGCATGAAGTGCTAAACAATACCCTGCCAGCTACTAAAAAAAACTCCCTCTAAAACATAATGGTACCTAATCCTTGGATTATAACACAATTATATGAGTTGTTCAATGATGTATTAGGGATAGCTTATCTGTATTTCAGAAAAAAAGGGTAATGACATTAAAGTATTTAAAATTTATATACAGGATGTAAAAGATTCACAGCAGTTGATGTGGCTCCAAAACAACTAAAAAAAATCACTCCACGTTCTCTCATAATATTGTTAATGATAATGTAACAGTAATTTTTAAACCTATGCAGTAAGCTGAAAAGAAAAACTTCTTGCACTGCTTCAAAGTATGCTTTCAGCAATTAGATTTAACATGACAGATTATGTCTCAAAACTGGCTCTTAATCATTTTTTATTAGTTTTCAATGTACTCCTCTATAGATACATTTCCACAAGTACCTGTTTCTGGCCGTTCAGCTCCCAAACCTGCCAAAAGATCAACTGTCCTATTAAGATCCTCTGAATTGGGTCCATTTTCTGACACAAGTCCACAGAGATATCCCAAGGATTTTAGCTGTTGAGGAAAACTCACATTGTAAACTTATATTTCAAGATATTATTAAAAGTACAGAGATTAATAATTTTAATGTAAAAATCTATGCAATTAGTTATAATTTATAAAGTATATTGATATATCATTCTATAATAGAGTCCTGCAAGGAAGGCTAATGATGGAAATGAAAGAGATAATGCTAGAAATTCTGTAGTCACCAAACATCATCCTCTGAGGACTTCTTAGACAACTGAAAAGTAAAAAAATAGCTCAGAATATTAATAAGACTATGCAAAGAGACAGAAAGCCATTAGTTATTTCTGTAGTACACCTTTCTGCAAGGCTATCTTACATTTCCAATACCTTCATAGCAATGATACCATTCTTTAAGATGTAGTTTCATACAGAGCACCTGTGGTAATAATTCTATCAATTATAGGCACTTATAATTAATTTTACCTACATAATTCCCTAAACACTTGCTCCTCCTCCCCTTCTGCCTCAAGTCCCATTCCCTCCGCCCCTTTCTAACTGGTCAGAAAAACGACATATAATTCTTTTCATGCTACTCCTAAAAAAAATAAAATTCTCTCTAAGCTGAAGTTTTGGGAGCGCCAAACTAAATACTCAAAATCCACAGGAAACACTAAGTAGTTACTTTGTATCTTATACTATAGCACATAGTCCTCTATTTCTGTCTTTGGAACATTTAAAATGGGGGAAGGGGAATGAACTCTGTTTCCCATGAGTTTGAAATACTACACCCAGCATTTCTTCTTAGATGTCAGAATTAACATGTAAGTAAAGATATTACTAAACCAAAGAAAGCCTTACAGAGTGGCCTTAAACTGTAAACAGAGGTATTACCACTAACCTACCAATCCCTCCCAAATGATTATCCACTAAGATGAGGCTCTTCCTAGTTAACTTATTAAAAAGCTTAAAGACCTTTATAAAGGCCTAGAAACTGGTATCCTTCACATTAGTTTCTCTTTGATTCCATCTATCCTGTATACTGCAACCAGACTAATCTTTCTTAAAAACCTACAGTTAGTTATCCCTTGACATTCATGGGTTTCACATTTGCAGTTTTGGTTATTCACGAATAGGCCATTGATAATTAAATGGGAATTTTGGGAGATTTACAGAATACTGTGGAAAATCATAGACAATGCACATGTGTAAAGAAAACTAAAACACTTAGTAAGTCGCAAATGCATAAATACATGTTATTAATCTATTTTATAATTCACAACCATAAGTATAGATACATGAATTTATTATAAACAGTTAAATTCTGTTAAAAGTTTCAGTGCACTACAGAACTATGGGCTTCAGACTCTCTTGAGGAATGGCTCCTCCTTGCTTCTACCATCCAGACTAAGTTATGGGATTTTCTTTCACAGTGATCTTTGTATCTTTCACTTTTCATAGGAGAAGGAAATCCATGAAGCAGTTGCTGCAGCTACATTAGCAGCTGAGAAGACTGCATAGTATGTAAGATAGTAATCTCTCCTGCATAGAAACTGAAACTTTTTTATGGGTGCAGAGTATTGTTTCACTTGTTTTGTAGTTTAAAAATATATGATAAAAATTATTAAAAATACAGGGTTAGGGTGGGGCCCAGTTAATCATGATCTTTCATATTTGCAGGGGCCCCATGCCTCTTACCCTCATGAATGCTGAGGGACAACTGCATCATTTTTCCTATTTTTCCAATTCCATCATTTTCATATTTTAAAAGCTTCAATGGCATCCCCACTGCATAAAACATCCAAACTTCTTAGGGTAACAATATCAAGCCTTTTACAATCTGGTCCCAGACTGTCTTCCCAACTTTTATCTCATACCATATCTTTTATCTAAAAGAACCTTATAGATAGACTAACCTAGTCATATTTGCCTAAAAACATCTCTTGCATTTCTCTCTGTCTACTTGTCTTCATATTGGGTTTTTCCTCACTCCTAGCCACAAAAAGCTTTCTATTAACAAACCCACCTATCTTCCAAAGCTTTGCTCAAAGTTTACTTCCTTCACCAATGTCCTTATTTCTCCGGCTTACTCCTCTATCACTTGTCTGTACAATTCATTCCTATCTTATATCATTATTGTTTAACTTTTCATGTGTATGGTCATGTCATTCCTAATCAGATTAAAAGCCATGTATACTATTTTTTCTATACCTCCAGAAATCTGTAGCATAGCATTTATACACATACTCAAAATATACAAAGCAGAGACAGGTAGGTGGCTCAGTGGATAGAGCACCAGCCCTGGAGTCAGGAGGACTTGAGTTCAAATCCAGACTCAGACACATGATACTCACTAGCTGTGTAACCCTGGGCAAGTCACTTAACCCTAACTGCCTTGCCTGCCCTCAAAAAAGAAAAAAAATACATACATATATATATATATATATGTACACACACACATGCATTACACAAAGCACCTGTCATTTCATCTGCCTAGCAAACTCCTAGAGTGAGAACTTCCCCCTCAATTTGGAAGATAAATCCTAGAGAGTTGCTAGAAGTAAAGTGACTTGTCCCTGAGTCACATATAGTAGGTGTCAGAGAAGCAATCTGAATGTGCATGTCTTCCTGGTTCCAAGCCAATCGTGCTACCCACAACTATGCAATGCTGTTTCTGATAGACAGATAGCAGGTATTTAGAAAGTATCTATTGAATGAATAGATGGTGGACAACTTCTATATCTGCTGTATAGCACCACAGTAAAGTAATGAGAACTACTTACTGTCACTTCAAATGAATAATACGGTAAGTAGTTTGCCTATTATTTTTCACATACTAGCAGAATCCAGAGGAAATGCAAAACATTATGCACTATATCTTGTCTACCTTTTCTGTGGCATAACTCCACAAGCCAACAGTGTGGGAAATATTGGAATCAATTTGTGCACGATCACAGCAACCTTCTATCCTCTGCAACACCTCCAAACAGCTCAAAAAGACCCAGCAGTCCAAAGCTCCAGGAGGAACAGAAACCTGAAAAAGCACATAAGTTCATTACAATTAAAAAGTACCACCATCTAAGAAACTATTATGGAAATCTTCAGTCACTGTCAGTCCTCTATGTTGAAATATATATTATGCTGAGCACCAATACAAAATAAGGCAAAATCAGAGTTACTGCTCTTCCGGAGCTCACACTGTATTGGGGGTGGGAAAGTTTCAAACAACTATATACATACAAGATATGTATGGAAGGTAATCTCAGAAGGAAAGCACAAGCAGTGGGAGAACAAGGAAAGGCCTCCTATGAGAGGTGGGAATTGAGCTGAGTCTTGCAGGAAGCTGAGGGCAGAGGAGAAGAGAGAAAATATTCCTAGAATGGGGGGAGAGTCGTTGAAAAAGAATGTAATTATAAAGCAGTAATTATCAAAACAATCTGGTACTGGCTAAGAAATAGAGTATTGGAACGGATTAGGTACAAATTACATTATAGTAAATGACCACAGTAATCTGGTATATGAGAAACCCAAAGATCCAAACTTTTGAAACAAAAACTCATCATTTCACAAAAACTGCTGGGAAAACTGGAATGCAGTATGATGGAAACTAGGTATAGACCAACATCTCATATCATACACCAAGATAAGGTCAAAATGGGCACATGATTTACACATAAAGGGTGATATGATAAGCAAATTAGGAGAGCATGGAACAGTTTATTTGTCAGAACTATGGATAAGGGAAGAATTTAGGACCAAGGGAAATACAGAAAGCATTACAAAATGTAAAACAGATAATTCTGATTATATAAAATTATACAGGTTTTGCAGAAACAAAACCAATGCAACCAAAATTAAAAGGAAAGTAGGAAACTGGGATTTTTTTTTTGCAACAAGTATCTCTGATAAAGGCTTCATTTCTCAAATCTATAGACAACGGAGTCAAATTTATAAAAAAAAAAAGTCATTCCCCAATTGATAAATGGTCAAAGGACAAAGAAATCAAAGCTATCTAGAGTCACGTCAAAAAATGCTCCAAATCACGACTGATTTAGAGAAATGCACGTTAAAATGAGTCTGAGGTACCAGTCTCTGTCAGATGGATAGATGTTGGAGGGGATATGAGAAAACTGGGACACTAAGGCACTGTTGGTGGAATTATGAATCAATCCAACCATTCTGGAGAACAATTTGGAACTATGCCCAAAGAGCTATAAAACTGTTCATACCCTTTGATCCAGCAATACCACTACTAGGTCTATATCCCAAAGACATCCAAAAAAAGGGAAAAGGATCTATTTATACAAAAATATTTATACCAACTCTTTTTTGGTGGCTAAGAATTAGAAATCAAAGGGATGCCCATCATTTGGGGAATCGCTAAACAAGCGTTATATATGATTGTGATAGAATATTATTGTGCTATAAGAAATGACAAGAAGCATGATTTCAGAAAAACCTGGACTTACATGAACTGATGCAAAGGGAAGTGAACAGAATCAGAACAGCAACAGCAATGTTGTATGACGAAGAAATACTAATGACTTAGATATTCTCAACAATAAAATGATCCAAGACAATCCCAAAGGACTAATGATGAAGTGTGGCTCCAGAGAAAGAATTGATATTGTTTGAATATAGACTGAAGCATGCTATTTTTCATTTTCTTTTGAGTCTTCTTGTACAAAATGTCTAATATAGAAATGTTTTACATGATTGCACATGTATAACCTATATCTGATTGCTTAACATCTCAGGGAGGGGGGAGGGCAGGAAGGGAACTCAAATTTGGAAATCAAAATTTAAAAAAAAACAGTTTAAAAATTGTATTTAATATGTAATTGGGGAAAATAATTAAATATATTTAAAAATTAAAAAGAATGTAACTGGGAGATGGACTGTCATATACAAGGAACAGCAAGAAGGCAGGTGTTGCTGGAACATAAAGAATACAGCAAGGAATAAAGTGGAGGAAGACTGAAAAGAGGAATGGGAAAAACTGTGAAGGGCTTTAAATGCTGAACAGAGAATTTTATGTTTGATCCTAGAGGTAATGAGGAAGATCCTGGATTTCAGAGAGTAGGGAGATGAAATGGTCAGAGCTGTGTTTTAGGAAAATCACTTTGGCAGGTAGGTGGAAGGTGGATTTTGAATGAGGAAAGAACCAGAACACTACTGTAATAACATAGGTGTGATGAGTAGCTGCTGTGGTGGCTGTGAGTGGAGAGAAAGGGATATTCAAATACAAGATGTGAAGGCAGGAAGAAGACTTTGCAAAAGATTGGGTACACTGAATGGATGTGAAAGAAAAGTCAAAGATAACAGGGTGGGAGCCTGACTGGAAGGATGGTGGTGCCTTCCATGGTAACAGGGGATTTTGGAAGAGGGGAGAGGGTCTTGAGGAAAAATTAATGAGTTCTCTATTGGAGGTGCTGAATTTTGAGATACTCATGGGACTTCTTCAAGATGGCCAATAGGCACTTACAGTTGTGAGACTGTAACTCAGGAGATGTTAGGGCTGGATATGTAAATTTGAGAATCTTCTGAATAGACATAATCGAACTCATGAGAACTGATGAAATCCCCAAATGAAATGGTATACAGGTAGAAGAGAAGAATTTCCAGCATGGAACCTTGGGGGACATCTATGCTTAGTGGGAGTGAGCTACATGAAATAACAGGAGAGCAGTGTCACAAAAACTTAGAGAGGAAAAAGTATCCAGGACAAGACAGTGATCAATAGTGTCAAAGGCTGAGGAGAAAGAGAGAGAGAACAAGGACAGAGAAAAAGCAATTAAATATGGCACTTAAAAAAAATCACTGATTTGGAGGGAGCTGTTTTAGTCAAATGATGTCAGATTCTAGGCTGTAGAATGGAAGACATAGATTGTATATCGCTTTCTCAAGGAGTTTAGCTAAGAAGGGTATAAAAGACATATAGGAAGACAGGTAGCAGAGATGGAAGGATTAAGTGAGGGTTTTTTAAAGGATGTAGGAGACACTGGCATGTTTATAGGTAGGAGAGAAGAAGTTAGTAAATAAGGAGAAGCTGAGGATAAGATAACAGAGGAGGCAATCTAACAGAGAAAATAGAGGCAGGGCAAAATCAAGGATGTATGCATCCAATATTTTTCTTGGGCAAGGAGAAGAGCTACTTTTCTTCATGAGAGACAGGGATGAAAGGGCAAATAATGGAAGACCTCTGAATGATGTGAGAAGAAGAGAGAAGAAAAGGGAATTCTTGGCAAGTGGCTTCCATCTTTTTCCAGTGAAGTATGAAGTGAGATCCTTAATTAATAAGGTAAAGGAAGAGGGTGCCATGGGAGGTCTGAGGACAGAACAGAAGGGTTTGGAACTAGCTGTTATAGTGAGTGGTGAGTGAATCATTCGGGTAGATGTAAGACTGCTGCAGTGAGGTCCCAGCTGTGATTACAGAAAATAAATTTGTAGTAGACCCAGTCAACATAGTTTTGTGACTTTCTCTAGTTCTACTCTGCAGCACATGAAAAGAGCAAAAGTGATGGATGGTATCAATATTCCATGGTTTGGGTTAGAAAAGACATGATCAATGACATGACAAAGAGGAAAGAGATTCGAAAGCAGAGGATTGTGTAGAGTTGAACCCATACATCAAAAGGTTGAGATAGGGAAGTTAGGAGAGTGTAGCCAGCATAGAGAGGATAGCTTGGGAAAGAGCTAACAGTTGGAAGAACTGGAATGCATAATGAAGGTGAAGAACAAGGTGAGGATGTTAAAAGGCACAGGGGAAAGAAGGAATGATAGGCTGAGTTCAAATAAAGGAATTTTAGAATTCATGAACACGGATAATGGGTAATAGCAAGATCAAGAGTATGACTATGTCTTGCGTGTAGCTGAGGTGCAGTGGATGAGTAGGTCATGGAAACTGAGCAGACTGAGGAACTGGGCAGTTAGGGTCCTAGAGGGAGTATTAATATGTTGGAATCTCCAAATATAAGAGCAGAAGTTGAGGAGTAGAGAAAGACTACAAGTTCAATAAATAATAGCAGGATCTGGGTAATAAATTTGAATTTAGGAAAAAATATAAATGGAATTTTCTACCTCGTGTTTTCAATTTGCAGATTAATTACTTATTGTTGAACATTTAAACCCATTTTTGGCATGCTAGTCAATTCTAAGGGTATGTGAAATGTGGAAGAGAAAGCAGATGGTAGTTTGTAGAAAAGGAAAAAAATCCAAGGTAAATTTAAGTGTAGGTGAAAAAGAAGGTAATTTAACATGCTCACATTCTTTCACTGCTATGAAAAATAGTTTTAAATTATGTATAGTCATGGGGTGAGTGGGGGATGGGACTAGACCTGTGATTTTATTGGTGGAGAAACCTTCCATTTCATTGTCTTATTTGACTTGCTTGGGGGCACTGTGATGTTAAATGACTTGCCCTGGTTACATAACTGGAATGTGTCAGAGGAAAAAATTAGCCCAGGTCTTCTTGACTCCAAGGCTGACTCTTGAATCTACCATACCATGCTGCTTCTCCATTCCTATTGAAGCTGTGATGTAGTTCCATTGTTTTGCAAAATAATTTGGAATACTGTTCATATACTTTGTCCTAGCAATACTACTATGAGATTTACTAACAGCAAAAACAGGCTCAACTACATATAAACAATCATAGCAACACTATTTGTTAATAGCAAGAGGTTGGATGCAGACTATGGTATATGAGAGAATGTTCTTTCATATGGTAAAAGAACTGTATAGTGCTATAAAGGATAGCCAGGAAGAATTTAAAGAAACTTGGGAAAACTTGTCTATAGTAATGCAGAGAGAAAATCAGAATTATATAGACAACTACCAATATTTAAACAAAAATAACTTAAAATAGCAACATAAATCAAAACCAAGAATGACATTAAAATTAAAGTACCCATAATTTGTTCTAAGGAATTACTATTAGGACACTACTTCTATGGAAATACTAAAATGTAAGGTTGCATCTACTATCTGTTTTAATTATTCTTCTATGATGTTTTGTTTAACTGTTTTTTGGAACTTGTAGACTGTGGAGGATCTAAATGTGTTTTGTAGGTCTGTATGATGTATTATCAGCTAGCTGATACTATAATCAATTATAATCAAAAAAAGATATATATAGGATAAATTGGAGATAATCTCAGAGGAAAGGTACTAAAAGGAGGACAAGAGATGTTTTTTTTTTTCAGCTGATGGGAATTTAGCTGAGACTTGAAGGAAGTACTATTATGCGGAATATATTGTAATTGCTGCAATGTTGATGAAGTTAGAGATTAAGATTTCCTCAAAATAACATGGCTAAAAATATCAACAGGCATAAATAAAAATAAATTAAGGATTACAATTTTTTATTTACATAGTGGCAGAAGCTACAGATTCTAATAAGAATTAATCTTCACCAGCTAAAGATAGTAAAATGAAAATATTTACTCTGGGTATTAAACAACAAATTAGTATATGAAAAGTAACACACTGGAATCTAGTTTCATATGTGATTTCTTTCATGGGTAATGAAATATTACTCATAATATATGTCAACTTGAGCAATTCACTTAACTGCTCTGGGTCTGTATCGAAGGTCCCTTTTAGTTCTAAATCTCTAATGGCTATAATCTTTTTTAATGAAAGGAGACAGGACAAAATGAGTTTCATTAGAAAATTCTTAAGAGCTAATATCACAAGACTAGAGTCACTCAGTTACATGAAATAAACATTTATTCAGGCCCTTTGTACAATGCTCATGAAGAAAAGAATCACCACCACAAGAAAAAAGAGGCACTACCTCTAGAGATATTTTTGTCAAAGATGCTACCTAATGAATGACAAATGCTAGTAACAAACTTTCCATGGAAATGGGCAGATCTCCTTACAGTTGATCGATATTAATACGATTTTTAAAAATACCTTGAGATACAAACTCAAAACACATATCATGATTGAAGTCAATGTCTGCAGAACCAGAGTAATTTTCTTTAGTGTTACTGATGCCATTTGTTTTCACATCTCATTCATTCCAAATACTGTTTCTTTACCCAGTAAACCTTCCCTTGTAACAAAAGTTAAAGAAGAAAAGTTACTTCATAAAAACAATGGATACAGTGACTGCATACAACATTCCAACATGTGCAGTTACCCATTTCTCCAAAAGGAGGGAGGTACATTTTCTCATCTCTTCTCTGGCAGGGGCTAAGCTTGGTCTTCATAATTACATATTGTTCAGTTTCATTTGATTACTTTCCCTCTCATTCTTATAAAGTCACTGTGTGTATTAATTTCTTGATTCTAGTTACCTTATTGAATTGGAGTAATTTAGAGAGATGAATAAAAATAATCTAAAAGAATGATTATAAGTTTACAATGATTAAATTCAGGGATGGAAAAGTAACTTAAAAGGATAATGTTAGAGGTACCAAAAACAGGGGTAGAATCTCTCCCAGCTTAAAGCTGGAAGTAAAAATTGGTCCAATTATAATATCAGGAGGGTAAACATCTGCCCATTTGAAGAGGAGGAAGGACCTATATCACAACAGAGGTAGTAGTTTCAAGGGAATAAGAACAATAGGAAGTAGCAATTTTGAAAGTAAAGAAGACCATCTTTGTGTGTAGCTGAGATGGGGTGGCTAAAGATTTAACAAAATTTTAAAAAGTTAAATATGGAGCAGAATCAAGAATTAAATATCAAAATATACAAAATATGAAACATACAACAAATATACAGCCTTTTAAGTGTCTTGAACCTCCTTAGCAGTACAATGAATCCAATGGACTCCTTCTCAGAATAACATTTTTAAATACATAAGATTACAAAGGAAACCAATTATACTGGAATAAAGTTATCAAAATAACTTTGAAATTTTATACCTATGGAATACGTCTTCAGTAAATACAAGCAGTTTAATACCATGGATGTCAGAGTACAGAAATGTTTATTATTCATCAAGATAATATAAAAATAAGACATTAAACTCACTTCTAGTAGCTTGAGCTCTTGCACACAATTGTGAAGGAGTTCTAGTGCACGCTGAGATACTTCCCATGGTCTCTGTAAAAAGATGAGCAATGTGCATTGTCGAGAAAACAGGTAACTTCGAAGATCTAACAGCGTAGCTTCTTGACTCTGTATCAGCTCCCGTTTTTCCATATCTATTGGCTTTCGGAGAATCAATCCATTCCAGCTCTTCACTGATTGACAGAAAAAAGTCAGCCAGTTTGCACCATCTAAATAAACACAAGGAACCAATTATGGGTTAATTTGTCTTACTGTGACAGCAAAGACGGCAGAGTAGGAGGAAGCAGTATGGCAGCTATGCCCCATAACTACTCTAACAACAAAGAGCAGCAAACTATCACGAATGTGAAATCCAAGAAAAAATTATACTGACTCATTTTTCTGAGCCAGATCAACATAAGAGAGAGAGGGCTCTGTGAATACTTGGGATAGTCTAGCCAAGAAAGTGAGGTGTAGGGCCTTCTAGTCAGGGGATTCAATGAAGGCCTGTAGCTACGTACTGGGGCAAGAAGTAGTATCAGATTCAGTAGGGACAGGGCCTGACATTGTGTAGAGAACAGAAACAACTGCCAACTGGGAAGCTTTGTTGTTCTGATCCCAGAACTACACTGCAGACTCAGTGTAGACTCAGGAGGGCAATTGTGCCTGGGGCAAAAACTTACAGCTGCATAGCAGGCAGGCAGAAGAAAAGCAAGCAGCAGTTATGCGGCTCTGATACTTGGGCAGGTCCTGTGAATCAGCTGCCAGACTAATCTGAAGTTTGCAGCAGGAAGTTCAGACCAAGAGGGAGCCTGCAGTTCTGTCACTTAAAAGCTACAGAGGGCAGCTAGGTGGAGCAGTGGATAGAGTACCAGCCCTGAAGTCAGGAGGACCTGAGTTCAAATGTGGCCTCAGACCAAACACTTGACATGTACTAGCTGTGTGACCCTGGGCAAGTCACTTAGCCCTAATTGCCTAAAACAAAAACAAAAACAGCTACAGAAAGCATTCCAGCTAGCTGAAAGAAGCTGAGGCCAGCAGAAGTCTCCTATAGTTCCTACCAGAGCCAAACCTATCACTGTATTGCCCAGACCCCAAATGGATCTTGCAAAGCTCAAACCAAGGGGGTAGCAATCAGACTTCAGCCTAGATTACACTTTTTTGGGGGCACTAAAATTTTACAGGACCCTGGCCTGAGCCATCCCTGAGATTATGAAAGCAATCTGTGATCAAGGTCCAGACATTCTCTCTAGAAGGGCACAAAACCCAGTTCAAACATTATGTCATAATTCAAGAAGGCTAGAAGAATGATTTAAACAAGCTCTCTTTTGCTTTATAAACACACACACACGGATTTTTACTTAACTATGATTCTATAATTTCTAATAAAGAAAAATGAAAATTCATCTACCATATGTACTTGCATAATTATTGCATTTTTTTACTCTTGGTTTTTCCAGTAGAGAACCATCATTCACTACTTACCACCTGCACCAAAGTTGACAACATATTGAGAGAATAGTGCATCCAATTCATCATATTGTACCAAGGCATCTTCAAACTGCTGTAGCATCTCAAAGACAAAGGCAAGTTCTTCCTAGTTAGAAAGGTAAAAAGAAAAAATATACATCGTACATTCAGAGCTATTTTTATGTATTATACATAAAGTCACTTCTGACAAAAGCAATCATTTAGAGAAAAATTGTCTGTCCATGGTAAAGACCTTCATTATTCAGCTATCACCACAGACTTATGGCCACTAGGAAGGACAAATGTTTCTCCATATGATAAATGACTAATCCCATAAGATTCCTTCTAATCATCCCTTTACATGCTAAAAATCAAAGTGGACATTTATTATGGTTTGCTGACTACTCTATTCCACTGTCAAGCAACAAAGTCTAAAGTCAGAAGAGAAATGGCTAAATTAAGATTTTTTTTATATTTATGAAATGTTTTTAAAGTTTTAAGAGGAACTGTATTATACAACTACCAAGAAGTTATTTTGTAGAGCTAAAAAAAGTTAACAGAATTATTCTCAAGGAACAAAAGGTCAAGCATCTCAAGGGAAATATGAAAAAAGTGGGAAGGAAGGGGATCTGGCAGTACCGGATCTCAAACTCTGTTACTACTAAGTAATAATCATCAAACTACCTGGTACTTGTTTAAAAAAAGAAAAGTATGAATGCAGAGAAGAAGGGAAATTTGTGCAGAGTGAAGAAAATAATATACACGAAAGACTACAACAAAATAAATGGAAAGAAAAACCAGTAAAAAATGAATGGTGTAAAATTACAAATAAAAGCATGGCCCAGTCTGATTCTTTTTCAGAGGCAAGAGGTCCACAGGTATGGAATATTGCATACATACTTTTAGACTTATTTCAGTATAGTAATTAGTTTTGCCAATGCTTTTTCTCTTCTTGTTTTTCTTTTAAAAAAATATGCTGTAGGAGATGGCTCTCTGGGAAAGTGGATGAGGAAGGATAATGGGAGGCATTTTTGCACATGCAACAAAATATACCAATAAAAATATTTAAAAAAATAAAAGATGAAAAATAGAAGTAGAACAGACTAGATTAAAGGGGAATGAAAAGTAAACTCAAAAATATACCAAAAAATACAGCAAGCTTCAAGGGTGGGCTAGTAAATGTTTAACAACTTGCTCTCTGGGGGGGGGGACAGGAACCAGTGACACTTGTACATTGTTACACGTTCTCCATCACTTTCTTAAGTCTAGGTGATCAACAAAACAATAAATCAATCCCTGATTTGTAGCATTTGCTAACTTCCAAAGGTGTTAATATCTGAAAATTTAAGAATAAGCTCTTGCAAGCTGGGCTAGCACACCTTCTGAGAGTTCTCCCCTACCCTAAAACCCCAAATCCTCCAAATAGTTCTAGAAAATGCACTAGACCAAATCCGGATGGAGAAATTCAAGAAAAAGTCATGGTGAGTCTTTTTTAGCCTACATCAACACAGGGAGACAGAGAGGTCTGTAGATACCGGGGACAGTGTCTGGCCAGAAACACACCACACAAACTCCAGCACAGAGAGAGCCTACACACCATGGCAGATTCCAGGCCTATACCAAGCCACCTCGACTTTATGCATAGTGCCAAGAACAGGTCATATTGGCAGCTTTGTCACTCACCACCCATATCTTAGTCACAGTCCCAAGGTAGAATGAGAAAGGGACCTGTACCACGTTCCAGGGTAAAGAGTGGTGACAGGCCCTAGGCTGTCCTGAGAGAGAAGTAAATTCAGAAGCAAACAGCAGCAATCTGACTTCGAGTCCAGTAGCAGAGAAGGGCCTCAGTTCCAACTTCTAATGCAGTCTAAAGCCTGAAGAGATACAATCAGGGAGATTGGAATCTAAAACCAACAGGGAATCTGGAGTTCTGTCACTGAACCAGCAGAGCTTCTAGATGATTGAAAGGGGTTGACCCAACCCAGATCAGGAACTTGCAGAGCTCAAACCAGGGGGCAGCAATTAGACTTTGCCCTGGATCACATTACTCTGATAATACTGACAACAGATCCCCAGTGCCCCTGAGATACTGGAATAACAAAACTCCATACCCCAATAAAGCAGCAATAGGAATAGCCAAGAATTTCCCTGCAGAAGTGTGCAGGGCCCAAGGCAAACATCAAGTCTAAAGTCAAGAAGTAGGCTAGAAGAATAAACAAACAAAAAAAAGCCATAAAGACCTAACAGCCATAAGGAGTTATTTTGGTGACATGACTTCAGAAGAAGAGAATGTCTCCAAAATATCTGCAAGCAAAGACTTAAAGGAAAACACAGCCTGGAAAACTTCAACTAGAATTCCTGGAAGAGATAAAGAATTTTTTAAAAAAGAGTTGAAAAAGAACTGCAAAGAGAATCAACAACTTGGCAAAAGAAGTTCAAAATCTTGCTCAAGAAACAAACCACCTGAAAATTAGAATGGACCAAAAAGAAACCAATGACACCATGAGACAAAATGGAATATTAAGGCAATGTCAACAATTTGAATAATATAAAAAAAGAAAGAAAATGTAAGGTATTTCATAGAAAAAATAACTGACCTGAAAAACAGATTGAGAAGAAAAAATTTAAGAATCACTGAACTATCTAAAGCCATGACCAAAAAAAAAAAGAGTATAGCATATTTCAATAAATTAAAAAAAAAAACCTGCCCAGATTTCTTAGAACCAAAAGGCAAAGTGGAAATACAAGGAATCCTCTATAGTTACTCTCTAAAGAAACCCCAAAATAAAAACTCCCAAGAGTGTGATGGCCAAAATCCAGAGTTTCCAGGTCAATTAAAAAATAATGCAAGCAACCAGAAAAAAAGAATTCTAGTACTTCAGAGCTAGCTACCCAGTCAGGATCACACAAGATTTAGCAGCCACCACAATAAAGGAGCAGAGAGCTTGGAATACAATATTCCAGAAAGCAAACAATTTTCACTAGCCTCTGGAATATAAAGTATTATGTCCCTATACTTGAAAAACAAAAAACTGGGAAACCAGGAAGTAATTTGGGGGAAAATAGGTTTAGACCAGCATTTTACATACCATATACCACAAGAAGTTCTAAACAGATACTAGATTTAAATCAATTGGTCAAAACACATTTACTGCACTCTTACTATGGGCTAGGCATTATGCAATTGTTGGGAAAACAAAGAAAAAGCAAAAATGGTTCCTGCCTCAAGGGTAAGAAAACAGGTATGAATGTGTGTGCGCGCGCGTGTGTGTGTGTGTGTGTTCATGTTGTTGCTTAGTTGTTTTTCAGTCATGTCAGATTCTTTATGACACCATTTGGGATTTTCTTTGCAAAGATAATGGAACGGTTTGCCAATTCCTTCTCTAGCTCATTTTTTCAGATGAGGAAATTGAGGCAAATAGGGTTAAATGACTTACCCAGGGTTACACAGCTAGTGAATGTCTGAGGCCAAATTTGAATGCAGGCAGAGGAGTCTTCCTGACTACAGGCTTTGCACTCTATCCACCGTACCACCTAACTATTCACATGTGCCCACACACACACACACACACACACACACACATATATATGCATAGGATATGAGGTAATCTTAGAGTGGAGCCACAGATATCTTTTAAATATACAAAGTAACATCATAAGAAAAATTTGCTAGTATCTTTACTTAACCCTAACAAGAATTCTTAGTCAATAAAAGGGTTAGGTCAAAAAAGATAAAATAAGTTTATCTAACTTCACGAAACTGAAGAATTTTTGCAGTGCGGAAAAAAACCAATTCAGATAGGATAATGTAAATTGCCAAATCAGGGGGAAAAAAAACCCTTTATATAACTATCTCTGATAAAGAGCCATTCCCTAATAGATGAGTCTTCAAAGGCTATAACAGTTATTAGAAGAATGACAAACTATTAACAATCATACGAAAGACTGTTCCAGATAACTAAATGAGAAATGTAAATATAAATAATTCTGTTTATCTCAAATAAAGTTAAATCTGAAAAGATGGAAATAGCAGTATATCAGAAAAAGACAGGCACATTGAAATATTATTGGTACAGGTGTGAAGTGATTCCAACTCTGGAAAGTAATTTGTAATTAATGCTTAAAAATGATGAAAATGACCTACAGATTCCACTACTAGGCATGTCCTCCAAGGAAGGGAAAGACAAAATCTCACATGTCACAAGTGTTCACAGAGGCACTTTTTGTGGTAGTAATGAAATGTAAATAAAGTAGGTGTCCATCAATGGAGTAATGGCTAAACGGCAATACTGTGGGTCAAAAAATATTACTGTGACATGAGAAATGACAAATATGAAGAATTACAGAGAACGGCATAAGAAATAATGCAAAAATGAAGTAAGCAAAACTAGGAAACAATACACATAAGCACTACAACATAAACAGAAAGAATAAAATATAACTGACACATTGTAATTATTAAGCATGGGCCCAGAGAAGAGACAACAAAATGCGCCTCACTGATGTTATCTGAACATGAAGAATATGTAATTATTACTTTTAATTTTTTAAAACTTATAATTTATGTCTGATAGGGCATAATTACCATGAGATCAATATCAAATATCTTAAATAACTAAACTCAATGTTAATTTCTCAACTGGTTTTGCTGGACTGCTTTAAAAAATTTTAATCCTGGATACTAAGTAGAGGAATGGCAGAGTCACAAATGAAGGGTGATATGAAAACAAAAGGCATCAATTAACCTAAAAAAGTCAGTTCTACTAGCAAACTTAATTAAGGTTAAAAGAGGAAGAGGAAACTCAATCTAAGAGAGCTTCAACAGACTGAGCAATAAGAGTGACAAAGGATAAGACATTAAGAGTTATAAGGAACAACCATCTCTGAGGTTACCTAATCCAACTCTTTCATTTTACAAAAGACAGACATCGAAGTAAGCTCAAAGGGTTTACATGACTTATCTTTGTGCCTGTGAGAGGTCTCAAAGAAAGTAAATGGCAGAGCTGGAATTCAAATCCAGGTCACCTGGTTCCAAAGTATCACACTGCTACCCACTATTAAGACATTCTAATTCTTTTAAAATATGTCATATCAATCCTGGTACTGCTAAAATGTGGAGAGAGGATTAAGAAATTTTTATAAAGTTTTCTATCAGAATCAGTCTAAAATTAATTAAAACTAACTTTTCATTTCTAGTAATTAACCACATGTTGCTACCTTATAACTCAATTGCAAGGGGAGCCAAGTGCATGCAAAATAATGTCAACTAGTAAATTTGCCTTTTCAATCAAGTCACAGTGGTGAGAATATAGACAATCTTTCTCTTCACAAGTTGTAGCAAAAGCTTATCATTCTTTTAAAGTAATCCTAAATCTCTTCCTGAGCTAAATTGTAGGACCTATGAATGCCTTCCAAACTACAATCTGGCACATATCAGCTCCCTACCTCTTTTAATGATTAAATCAGTATATATACTTAACACATCTTTCTTGGAGAAAAAGGACAATTGAAGTTAACAAAATGCAATGAACTGCATGCCATTCCTTGCCATGATTCACATGATTTAAACCCAAAGCAACTGCATTAACACTAAATTCAATGAGTACTAATGATACAAAAATAATAATCACAATAGTGATGATAACAGTAAGCATTTATAAAGTACTTGCATGTGAGTCACAAGGCAGCAATATGTGATTAATTATCAGAAATGGAAAGTTTGTTTTAATTTATTTCAGGGTGATGCTGATAGGAAACTTTATAATTGCTTAATCTACTGTCCCCATTTTAGTGGTACCATGGCTGATATGACATATTTTAAAAGAACTGGAATGTCAACAGTGGGTAGCAATGTGGTATTTTGGAAAGAGCATGCATAAGATTTGAAACCAGATGACCTGAATTTCCAGAGAGTATTAATAACCAAAAGGTCCCTGAGAATCAAATAATATGCGACAAAACCCCAAGCTAACTGGGTTTACAGTTATTTCAAAATAAAATTAGGATGCAAGCAGTAGAGCAATAGGAAAACTAAGGATACAGCTATCTAAGAATTTATCTCTGATCTTGTTTGACAAAGCCAAGAAATAAGAAGGTCTAGTATTCTTGCTACTCTTACTACTAATCTCTGGTTTAAAAAACAAACTAGTAAAAGTAATAATTTCTATGGAATCAAATGAAAAAAAAGTTGATTCAGTGTTTGATGAAATACCTGAACCATGAAATAGTCACAAAAACTCCATCCTGGTTCAGTCCTCTTCTCCCTCAATGTTCTCATATCATCTTCAAATTTGCCTAAGTTTTTGGTAAAAGACATAAGAAGCAAAGTCCTGAGTTTGGTCAGGAAGGCATTCCAGGATTCCTGAGTACGGGAAGAATCCTTCAATGGGTCACAGAGAACCACACACCTGCCAAGATATGAAGAGATCATTTTAAATAAAGAATAACAATGATGTTTAAGAATTGTTCCCCCTTAAATTTAGCAGAATTTACCACATTTTCCAGGCAATTTATTTTTTTTGAATGTTACAGAAAAAAAATGCTAACAACCTAGGAAGAGGTAACGTAACTTGGCTCAGGGCTTTCAACAACAGCCTGTCCCTCCACTAATACATATAAAATGGCAACAAACAAATTTTGATACTGAATGCCTAACCTACAATTTAAAAAAAGTTATTTCCTTTTAAATTAAATTTAATTTTTACTTAAAAATTCAAATAAAAGTTAATTCCTTGAATTATTCTAAGTTTATAAGCAATAATATTAAAACTTTTAAATGACTCAATACATAAAAAGGATAAAGACCAAAATCTGTCTATGCTATATATAACTAAGGTGATAAGGCCTAGCCTGTATCTATATGACATGGATGAAATTCCTTTGCAACTATTTCTAAATCAGTGGTGACAAACCCCAAAAGAAAGAGAGCCCTATGGAACGGATGAAGTGGATACTGACTTGGAAAACCACAAATTAACATTATACTGTATTGTATTTTTATTTATTTTGTTAAACATTTAAAAATAGATTACTATTTATTTTTAAAATTCATTTTAAAAATTTTGAGTTCCAAATTCTCTCCCTCTCTCTGCATTTCCCCCACCCACTGAGAAAGCAAAGAATGTGATATTGATTACACATGTGAAATCATGCAAAACATATTTCCATATTAGCAATGTTGCAAAAAGAAAAGCAAGAAAAATAAAGTGAAAAAATTATGCTTCAATCTACACTCAGATTTCATCAATTTCTTTCTGTGGATAGATGGATAACATTTTTCATTATGAGTCCTTCAGTCTTTATCATCATGTTAATCAGAGTAGCTTAGTCTTTCACAGCTGATCATCAATGCAATATTGCTGTTACTGTGTACAATGTTCTATTGGTTCTGCTCACTTCACTTTGCATCAGTTTGTGTAAGTCTTTCCAAGTTTTTCTGAAATCAGCCTGCTCCGCATTTCTTATAGCACAATAGTTATTTCATTACAATCACATACCACAACTTGCTCAGCCATTCCCCAACTCATGGGCATCCCTTCAATTTCCAATTCTTTGTCTCACAGAAATGCTATAATATAATTTTGTACATATAGATTTCGTTTCCTTTTTCTTTGATTCCTCTGAGATACAGACCTAGCAGTGGTACTACTAGGTTAAAGGGTATACACAGTACATAATTAGGTGAGCATAGCTCCAAACTGTTCTCCCAAATGGTTGGACCAGTTTACAACTCCAATAATAGTGCATTAGTGTTCCATTTTTTTCACATCCCCTCCAACATTTGTCATTTTCCTTTTCTATCACATTAGCCAATCTGATAGGTGTGACCTGGTACCTTAGAGTTATTTTAATTTGCATTTCTCCAATCAATAGTGAATTACAGCATTTTTTCACATGATTAAGATAGCTTTGATTTCTTCTTCTGAAAACTGGGGAAGTAGTAAAGGGGATATGGTCAGACCTGTCGTTTAGGAAAATCACTTTGGCGGCTATGTAGAGGCTAAACAGGAATAGGCTAAGACTTAAGGAAGGCAGACCAATTAGGAGGATACTGCAAAGGATTTCAGCCTGCACTAGGGTGATTTATGTCTGTGTGAGCAGAAATTATTTTATAAAACCTTCACAAAACCTTCAAATTATTCCTCACCTATAAAGTCTAAATTCCTAGGCCATTCTAGCTATGTTAACCTAACAGTCACCTTCTCATTAAGCTCCCTCCTTTCTCTAGGAGTTCAGTGCTTAACTAACTGATATTCTCTCTTAATACCAACAACTGTTTTCCTCCCTGATGACTTCAATACACACATAATGCTGTCCCCTCAAGCACCTTGGCCTCTCAGTTCATTAATCACCCCAAGTTCCATGACCTATAGCTACATTCTACCTTAGACATTCTCTGGGATAATTATATCTTTAGATTTCACTGTTAGCTATAACTGTGTCACCTCTGACTTTGAGCTTTGAAATACCCTCCCTCTGATCAAAAATTATAGTTCTTCCATCTGCCTATTGTTTCATACCTCTTAAACCTCTCTTTTATCCTTAGTGACCTTCATTCAGTCTCTTTCCCTACCTGTCCATGCTTCATTTTCCTTTCAGCAGTTTTTACTCTGAAGTTAAACAATTAAACTATACTTAATCCTCCAAGCTCCCCTTTTCCCCAAGTTCTATCATCTGCCCCCTTCCCTGGTACCACTTTTGTCCATGTGTGGCCACATAAAAGAGGAAGAAGGAAGAGAAAAAAGGCAGCCCTTCTTGTCAATGTCAGCCTATCACTCCAAGGCTTTTATATTACAATCACTCAATGTGCATTTATTCCAATCCCCTCCCCTCTACCCCTCCCTTCCTTGCTTCTCTCTCTTTTCCTCCCAATCCCTTCAGAGATTTAGAGTATGAATAGGAAATTTTTTTAAAAAATCTTACACAGCTTCAAATTTACGTTTAAACCACTACAGTTTTAATAAAGGGGTTAACTAGGTACAAGTTTAATTTTGTTTCTATTCAAAATGCATAAATAAAAATCAAATATTTACTAAGAGCCAACTATCTGCCCAGAACTGTGAAGGATTTTATTAAAAAAAAAGAAGGAATAAAAATGTAATCTCTGCCCCTGAAGAGCTTATAATCTTATTAAAGACAAAATACTAACAATACAGGGAGATAATCATAAATATATATGAGTATATAATCAAGTATTCAGTTGTGCAGTACTGATCATATATAAATACTATAGGATTTATACAAAGAATTGTGAGTAACTATTTCAAGGATTTTAGCTGGGCCTTTAAGAACAGGCAGACTTAGAAGAGGAAGAGAAGATCACAGATTCAGAGCCAGAAGGGACCTCAGAAGTCATGTAGGCCAACTGCTTCATTTTATAGGTGAGGAAACTGCAGCTCAGCCAAGTTAAAGAAAGAACATCCCATGTGAGATGGGCCTTCACAGTGTTAAAAATCTATTACAAAAGAGATTAAGGCAACAAATTTGGTAAAAATAAACTAGTTGCGGGGCAGCTAGTGGAGCAGTGAATAGAGCTCCAGCCTTGGAATCAGGAGGACCTGAGTTCAAATTTGACCTCAGACATTTGACACTTACTAGCTGTGTGACCTTGGGGAGTCATTTAACCCCGACTGCCCCACAAAATAAATAAATAAAAATAAACTAGTTGCCTAAAATTGGGTGTTAGGTAAAGTAGTTAAAATTATATTCTTACCTGTCACTCTGTTTATTACAAAAATCATTCCTTATTTTGTCTACAATGGATGTGCGTGGAAGGATGTTGGTTTTATTTTTTTTCTTGGCATCACTTTCAACTACCACTATTAACCAATCCACAGAGCTGTGAGCTTTCAGAACATTCTGCCACTTGGTGATGTCATCTTTTAATGTAGCTTTATATACTTCAGTGTCCTAAAAAAATAAATTATAAGTCACTGTCAAGGTAACTTTAAATGATCACTTTAGTTATCAAGAATAAATAAACTTAAAATAGGTGCGTTGAACTATAGTAATAATATTTCTTTTCATTAAAAAAAATCTGAAGTTATCTTAACAGTATGCATTTTCATCATAAGCCAGAATACGTATTATCCAATGGCAACTGAGAAAGCCACTTTTTTAAAGACCTGCACATTGTCTCGATCTGTCATTTCATAACCATAAAGAACTCTCACAGTGAAGAAACTCCTTGTACCAATGCAAATCCACAACTATTATGCAACTAATAGCCCCCTAAAAGCTTGTCTCTAAAACAGGGTGCACACAAGACAATCCCTGGGGTGTGCTAAAAAAATACTCAAACAGAGGACAGCCACCTAGCCAACTGAGCATTTTTCCAACTGTAAGCACCTCTGTCTGCTGCTCTCTTTCCTCCTGCTTGCTCCTATTGTGAGTTACACCACTACTCATTCCCAAGAAGGTAGGTAAGCAAGCAGTTATTCTCCACTCTGCCCCACCCTCCCCTTCTTCCTGCCTGTGCCAGTATCAGCTACAATGGAAGTCAACAGCCAGCATTTATTACCTATCCAGCCTCAGTTCCTTCCTAGCGCCTCTATCCCAGGCACAAACCATTTTAGATGGTCAGCCTTGGATGCTCCCTCTTGGTTTTTTGTTTTTTGTTTTTTTGGTGAGGCAATTGGGGTTAAGTGATTTGCCCAGGGTCACACAGCTAGTAAGTATCAAGTATCTGAGGGCAGATTTGAACTCAGGTCCTCCTGACTCCAAGGCTGGAGTTCTATTCACTGTGCCACCTAGCTGCCCCTGGATGCTCCCTCTTGGATAGGACAACAGTCACTCCCCAGTAGGCCTTGAGCCTTCCTTTCCCACCCCCACTATTAAACAGTACAGACCCCGCCTCTCCAGAAACAGAGCACTTCCTGGGGCTTTGTGGGGTAGGAGGAGGTAAGATTAGATATATGCTTCCCTCACACCTAGCTATATCCCACTCCCAGGGGCTCAAACTACTGAACAGATCCTGCTTCCCTCGTACCAGGCACCATTTTAAACCTCAAGCTCAGGTCAGACTAGCATATCATGTACAATCCTGAAGCAGTGGCTCATCCATGGACACAGAAGAGGAAAAATACTTCTTGAGAATATACGCTTTGCTATCTACCCAGGTTCCTTTCTCCCCTACCATCAGTGCTCCAAGCAAGCTGAACAGAAGCTGCAGAAGCAAACAGCAGCAACAAGCAAAAGGCTAGATACAGCACAGGTGTAGCAGCCAGTGAGGTAGCAGCTCAAGCAGGCAAGACAGAGCTAACTCAGATTTACAACCCTTTTCTGAAGACTTGCCTAAAATCTATCAAAAAGCTTAGAAGCAAACATAGAAGGTGATCTACCACCAGGAAACCAAGTGCCATCAGGGCATTTTGGCACCCACTCTGCTCTTGCCCTATTTTCTCCACCTGAAACAGCCACCCTATGATCTTGGGTCCTGATCTCTAGAGACCATGCCCCTCCTCCATTCCTTAAGGAAAAGCAGAAATTTATTAGCCAAATTTCAACAAAGTGGATGGAACTGAAGAATGAGCATCATAATTTAGTAAGTATTCAATAAAATACTCCTTACATTTGGATCTATGCCTCTTAGTGAGATATGTTTTTTTAGCTATGACCACCATTAAAACAAATACAGTACTAGTCACCAAAAAAGCAGCAGCTGTCTTCTCCCAGAGCTTAACTACAGCACCCATCTCACTCTTCACTAAAGTGAAAGTTGACACATTCCTGCCTTACTCAACTCCAGATGCTCTCTGCTTGCTTTTCATAACTTGGATTTTTACCCTAATAATAAATGAAACAGTAGGATATTATAGTGAAAATTCAGTTAAAAATTTTTAAACAAGATGCAGCTTTGTTAATTTTTGTGCTGACTGATGAGGTTTTGGCCAAATGCTGAATCTAATCTTTGAAGAATTCTCCAATGGGATTAAGAAAGAATATCTAAATAGAATCAAGTAATGTGTGCCAGAGTAGACTGTAACTGGCACTCCAAACTAGCTCAAAGACACAAGACAAACAACTCTAAACCTGCTCCTGGATGGCATGTCGATGAAGAAAAAACGCACTGTCAGAATCTAGTGACAAAAATAACAGGTTATATCACACGGCAAAAAGGTAGCCCTATAAGACATGCATGACTTGGAAGAAACTAAATTTCCTGATTGTAATTAAAAAACAACTGATGTTTTGGTCAAAAGGATATGGAACTAAAGAATCTTTGAAGGAGTAGCAATATGTGGATGATGATGTTTGTCTTCTTTTCTGAATCTGAATCTGTTTCACAACCAGAAAGAAATCAATCAGGGAATCATTCTACAGAGAGGACATATGTGGGATCTCAGATGAACTGACTCGGATTATTATTGATCTCAAGATAAATGTGTTCCTCTTGTTCAGGAAATAACGTTTGAAAATGAAGACTAACTGATGAAATTGTCTTTTCTCATACTTTTCAACAAGAAGGAAGATACAGAGTTTAGATGTATTCCAAAACAAAATTTCCCAGGAAATTAGTGAAAAAGTTACAATAAATTTTTTACATTCTGCCTGTGAACCACTTTGGCAAAAACAGAAAATACCATCAGATTGTCCCATTACAGCCATCGCAAGCTTTAAGCACACAGACTCTTTCTTTTTTTTTTTTTGGGCTAGGCAATGGGGTTAAGTGATTTGCCCAGGGTCACACAGCTAGTGAGTATCATGTGTCTGAGGCCAGATCTGAACTGAGGTCTTCCTGACTCCAGGGCCGGTGCTCTATCCGCTGCGCCATCTAGCTGCCCCACAGACATCTTTCTAGATACTAAATATTTGTTAATTTCAAACAAGCTCAAGCAATTCAAAATTTCAAAATTTTAGAGGGTTCTTAATACTTGGAAGTGAAAATTTAAAGTTTTACATGAAAAAAACAAAAACCAAGTATCCCCCCCCAAAAAAACCCTAAGAACCAAAACTTTGAATTACTCTATCACAAAGGGCTATGCTACAATTTACAAAACTAATAAAGTATATTCAATCCTATTACTCTTAGAAAAAATGTAATTTTACTTAGTAAGAGCAAAAAGTGTTTTTGTACCATCAAAATAAATTTTTAAATATTTCATTTCATCTTTTTATTTTAAATTTTATGTATTTTACAATATACATAATATAGTGGTATAGTAGTACATGTATAAAATGCATAAATATACATACTAGAGGCACGTGATGAAAAACATTCTACTGACAGGGGGACCTAATCAAAAAAGTTCTAAGATTAGAGACACCTCAAGACACTCTAACTGCCTAGGAGTTAAAAAGCAAGTTTGTGTCAGAGGTAGGACTTGAACTCAGATTTCCTGACTCCTCAATAGCCTCTCTTAACCACTAGGCAACACTTTTAATAAAAACATAAACTGCAAGTATTTCCATTAAGGACAAATTATTACTTTTTCCTCAAAACCAGGTGAAATTTTCTGAAGTGTATTGACATGTCTCATGACCAATGACAAAAAAGAGAGCTTCTATTTGTGGCCATAGAACTGTTTCTTGGCAGTTCTTCTAACTCTACTATAATCCCATGGCAGTTCTCTGAACAGATCAATTCTGATACATCTTACATGTGGTGAAGGCAAGCCACCCTGTCACTTGATCTCAGCCCAACAAGGGAAGAAAATCAAGAGTAAGATTAAGAATTCCTGTCCCTGACTATTCAGTGTCCTTTAAAGCTGTTATTTAAAACCAGAGATTTATAAGAGACAGCAACAGCAAAGTGGGGAAGAAATGATTCAAAGATTAGGCCATTTCTTAAAGTTCTGGAGCTTCTACCCTCACATCTTAGAATCCCCCAGCCTTCTTCATCCATCCTATACCACCATAATGTAATCCTTTCTCTCTCCTTTCTTCCCTACTTTTCTATCACTACAACTGAGACAGCATGAATGGTCATGTTTTGATTTTGTTGCTTTGTTTAAATGGCTTTAATTCCCCTGCCTTTTTTGGAAGGGAAACGGTTCAGAGCTGTTATGTCATTGACAGAGTTCTCCCAGTGAGGAAATTCCTTCTGCCAATGTAGAGTAGCACTTGTTTCTAAGTGTTCTTGAAGCAACACTTAAAAGTGACTTGCCAAGGTTCATTTATGTGAGAGATGGGACTTCTACTTAGATTTTCCTGATTCCCAGGTAAGCCTTCTATCCACTATACTATGATGCCTTTCCAAATACAAACACATACAAAAAAAGGATAATAGGTACAAAAGGGACTTTTTGTTTTTGCTTTTTGGTGAGGTAACTGGGATTAAGCGACTAGCTTGACAGCTAGTGTCAAGTGTTTGAGGCCACATTCAAACTCAGGTCCTCCTGACTCCAAGGCCAGAGTTCTAACCACTGCGCCACCTAGCTGTCCCTCAAAAGGAACTTTTTGTAAACTGTAACAGTATGAGTAAATCTTCACTATTCGCTAACTACAATAATTCCATTATTCCTTCAGTGACCCCCAAATAATATTTATCTCATATTGATCTTGAAAGCATAAATAATTAACCTGAGAATGAACTAAACCCCACATTTTGTGAGAATCAGTTATCAAAATTTTCAGAAATTAACTTTAAGTTGCTTCTCACTTTACTACGAACTGTCACACTAAGGAAACCTAAAACTAGCTCTCCCATTGGAAATACAAGTTGTTTTTTTTAAAGGAATAAAAGCACAGTGGGAATACATATTGCATATATAGCAATTAGAGATTAGAGATTTCCATAGGGTTCAGGTTTTTGAGAACCTTACATACTTTAAGAGTTTATAACAAAATTGTTGTTTGACTGGCAAGAAAAATTCAGAGAAATTCGAAAGTCTTTAATTTCAAAGATTTTAACAATTAAAATATTAGACAAAATTAGGAGCAACCAATACAATGCTCTAAAATAAAAGCTCCCCAAAGCTGACAAGATTAAATATCCAAACACATAAAATGTACATATTCTGAAATTTATTCAGTCTTTCTATGAAGTTCACTCTGATTTTTATACTACAGAATATAAGAGCCTTCCCTGAGTTGATAACAATAACCAGAATAAAGAAGACTGTAACTGGCCATAGTCAGAATGCTTGCCCTGGCTTCAGACTTCTTTTCAGTCCTTGTTGCCGTAACAAGGTGCAAATGTGTCTTATTTTTCAAGGAAGCAATCTTCAGGAAAATACAATGCTGACAAATTGTACAACATGCCACAGAGACTGTTTTTGCAATCTTTTCTGTATTATCCGAGCCAAGCACAGGGGAAAATGAGTTTTCTGTAGTGCTTTGATCAAGTAATCAAACAATAATATCAGCTAGTGGCAATTTAATAAATCATTTTAAGTCATGCATATATTGTATTTACAGGGACGAGAGCAGCGGTTTTATTACATAAAGGCTCAAAAGGCTGTCACTGTACATAATTTTCTTCTTACTCAAGTAGCAAAATCTATGAAATGGAATGTTTTCTGTGAAACAAGTCATGAATGTACAATACAAACTAACTCATAAACACAGTTCTTTATATGTAAAAAAACAATTTTAATAAAAGAATAAAGGAAGCAATAACAATGAAAAGAAAACATGAACGCAAATGGAGAAAAAATTCTAAGTGTTGTAATGATGAAACCAAGAGATGAGTAACAGGCTTCTTCAAAGCTATCTTAATCTATTACCCATTTATCTTTTTTGATGAATACTTACACAACATTCTGTCCAATAAATGTGAAGGAAGGGGAAGGTAAGAAGGGCTTTGTTTCCTTCTTTCGGAAGCAACTCCTCTTTGAATTGAACAAAATTAGATTCTAAGTGAATCATCTTTGGAGCACGGCCATAGGACCTATAAACAAGTTGTAAAAATGAAAATAAATTACTATACAAATTATGACTAAAGGGAATACAGAAGAGAAGAATAATTATGTTTTTTTTAAAGAGCCAAAGCAATTCTAAAATTCTGCACATTACAATCTAAAACTAATAGTGTATTCAAATCAAACACTTGAAATAAAATATTACTTATGTTAATTATTTTAAACACACACACTCATATAGACTACTATTGTCTAAAAGAATCAGAAGGCAATGTACATGGTAATTATTTATTGCCTCAAAAACTTAAATTGACTGTGTCTGAAGAGACAGGAAATAACTGCCTACTGAAGTCAATGAACTAGAGAGAAAAAAGGAAAAAGATGTAACTAACTACAATAGCCTCAAACTGACCTATTCAAATGAGCTTAACACTGCTGAAAAATGGGAAAAGGGGAAAAAAAGGCAAAGATACTGACCTTACTTATTAACATTTCTCACAAAAGCTTGACAGAAAGCAACCTCTTCAATGAGAAGGCCCAAAGGGCCTAGACAGCCTGAGTCAGAAACACTTGCTCAAGCCAAGGGCAACACTCGTTTAGAATGTAAACTTATCTGGGTCTGATAATACCTCCTCACAAAACAGGGAAAAGTAGCACAAGTGAAGAAAAGTTTACAGAAAGGTTGGAATGAGACCCAACTAGGTCACATCATTTCAAGAGCAGCCATAAATGAAACTGGCAGGAAAATAACATATGAAAGATCTGTAAATTTGCTGAAATGATCTACTGTTATTATAAATGACCAGACTTGGACTCTAACACTTCCACCCCCAATGGGCTAAATATAAGTAAATAGAAATTACACTCAAGAAGATGAGTAGAAGGATAACTGGATCAGACCAAGTTCAAACTGAAGATATGTTTTTGAAGTAACACAATCTTTAAAGTACCAAAGGACTGCTTTATAAGACATAGCAGGGAGGAGAAAATTTTTTTTTAATGGAAAAAATCAGGAGTACAATTATTATTTAAAAAAAAAAGAAGAGTGTGTTACAGTGGAGAGGAAAATGGATTTAGAGTTAGAGAACCTGGATTCAAATCTTATCTCTACAACTTACCACCTGTGTGCCCTTGGACAAGTCGTAATTTCTCTGAGGCTCAAATAAAGAGTTCACACTAGATGATATCTAATGCTGCTTCCAGCTCTAAGTCTATGATCCCATGAGCAATGATAATTACTGATTTGTATACTCCTCTCATTTCACTGAAATCTTTATGAGAATGATCAACACGTATCAATGAATGGATGATAAGCATACAGGATAAGAAAGCATGTATAGAGCTGTCAACTGTACTGATTGAGAGAATACTCAAGGCTTTACTTATCATAAGCCTGTGAAGTAAGCAGTATAATTATCAAGATGATTTTACAAATGGGGAAGTAAAAGCTCAGAAAGGTTAAGTTGTCTATAGTCATCCAACTAAATAAGAGCAGGATGCAAGCTTAGGACTCAAGTCTTCTGATTAGTCTAATTATCTTTTCATTACATGGATACACAATAAAAAGAAACCAATTTCACTAACATATCAAAGAATAAGTTGCCATTTTATGACACTCCTTGGAAGTGTATTTTGAAGTTTAAAAGCCAAAAAATTATTTGTATTTTAAAAAGAATTTTAGTGTCAGTCAGTAGCAAGTATTAATTAAGGGCTTGCTCTGCGCCAGGCACTGTGCTAAGTGCTGGGTATACAAAAAAAGACAAAAAGAAGACCTGCTTGTAAGGAGCTCACACGATAACAAGGGAGACAACATGCAAAAAATTATGTACAAACAAGATAGACACAGGGTAAATTGGTTGTAATCTCAGAGAGAAGTCAGTAGCACTGGAGGGGGAATTAGGAAAGCTATCTTACAGGTGGTAGAATTTGAGCTAAGATTTGAAGGAGGCCAAAGAAGCTGAGTTGGAGATCAGTAGGGAGAACATCAATATCAATAAACACTTATTAAGCATCTATTATGTGCCAGGCACTATGCTAAGGGCTGGGGATACAAAAAGAAGCAATCCCTGCCCTCAAGCAGCTTATAATCTAACAGGGTAGACAACATGCAAACAAATATAAACAAAGCAAGCTACATAACTGGATAAGTAGGAAGGCACTAGCACTAAGAGGGGTTGGAGAAGGCTTCTAGTAAAAGACAGGATTTTAACTGGGACTTAAAGGAAACCAGGGAGGTCAGTAAGACAGAAAGCATTTCAGGCATGGGGAACAGCCAGAGAAAATGCCTAGAGCCAAGACATGGAGTATGTTGTTCATGGAATAGCCATGAGGCTGGAGTCACTGGATTGAAAGCCATGTGTGGAGGAGTAAGATTTAAGAAGACTAGAAAGGTAAACACATGCTAAGTATGGAGGAAGACTAGGATAAATATATGGCGTTGGGAGGCAGAGTGTACTGTGCAAGGAACAGCAAGGAGACTAGTATCGCTAGATTGTAGAATATGGGCAGAGGAGTTAAAAACAACAAGACTGGAGAGATAAGAAGGGGTCAGGTTATAAACAGCTTTAAAAGCTAGAGATTTTTATAAATGACCTTGGAGGTTGTAGGGAGTCACTGCAATATACTGAGTAGTGAAGTGACACGGTCAGACTGGAGTGGGGAGACTTGAAGCAGGCAAGGAAAGCAACCAGAAGGCTACAGAAATAATCCTACGTGGGTAGTGACTTCACCGCATCTAGCTATGTCCAGGTTTGGGCATGCTCTTTCACCCCTGAAATGTGTCTATCCTACCTCCCCGTTCCACCACTTGCTCTGGAAATGTAATCAAGTCTACACTAATATTTCTTCTAGAAAGGCATGTCAATTAATTGTCCTAATGTTCCACTTACCAGCTCTGTGACTTCCTAGCCCATTATGTTGCCTCCACTATTATGTTAACTCCTTGAGAGCAGGTACTAATTTACTTTTGATATTTGTATTCCCAGCACTTAGCACAGGGCCTGACCAATAGTAAGTGCTTAATAAAAGCAAAAAGTTTTTGATTCATGTGAAAACAAAGGAGATCAATAAAAACAACATTTTAAAAACGATACAAACAAAAATAATGTAAAATACACTACACATCTTTAACTTTCAGCAGGGATCTGCATAAAGTAAATAACAAATTTAGAAAATGCTGCAGGTCCTGCTTCTGACTCTCCAGGCCACTAATATGGCTCATCTGCCTTTTCCTCTTAAAACTTTCCTCATTCCCTGGGGCCTTCTCACCCTGGAACGATAGCCCTATGGTCCCTTTCCCACACTGCTCAGTTCCTCCTGTGGCCTTCAATTTGGGGAGGGGCCCAAGCTAGCCATCTTTACCTCCTGTCCCAGTTCTGCTTCTGACTCTTAGAAATTCTCTAGGCTACCATGCACCAGCATAGGCATCTCCCTCAACCTCAACATTTTGATTCTCTTTTATACGTTACCTTCCCCCATTAGAATGTAATCTCCTGGAGAACAGGAACCATCCTTTCTTTTCTTTTCTTTTTGCACACAGCAAATGCTCAATGTTTGTTGACTAACTGATTTTCAGAACATACTTATCTGACCATTAAGAATCTAAAGTGTAGGGGCAGCTAGGTGGCACAGTAGATAGAGCACCGGCCCTGAAGTCAGGAGGACTTGAGTTTAAATCCAGCCTCAGACCACCAAACACTTGACACTTACTAGCTGTGTGACCTTGGGCAAGTCACTTAACCCCAACTGCCTAAGCAAAAAAAAAAAAAAAGAATCTAAAGTGTACACCTCAGTCTCTATTTCTATTATATTACCATCAAGTCATTTATTCAGTTTCTTTACTGAACCATCAATTTAAGCAAGACATTTTGAAAACAAAAAGGCAATTAAATGCTTAATACTTTGAGTTAGTTGGCTCATTATAACAGATTTTGAAAACCTGATTTTCTTTTCACATTACATTAAGAGCAAGAACAAAAATAAAAAATAAGACTCTCTCTCATGTACCCTCCAATTCCTTCAAAAGGGGCATAAAAAATACCTTCTCCATTCCATAGGTTCTCTTGGAAGCTGTTGGGATAGTGTTGGATAGACAGAAGCAAATAAAGTTTGATCTCCAGCACCTACAAAGGTAACAGAGAAATTCAGTTATGGCATGCCAAGATATAGAGAAAATATGGGCTCTAGGTTATTGAACCAACTTTTTTTTTTAAACATTGTTAAGATTCAGTAAAACTGATACCATAAAAATATAACCCAAATTTGCTTAGGACTAGTTATCAATACCTTAATATCACCAATATTTAAATCTTACTTAAGAAGTAATTGTTTTGACAACTGACCCTTAAATAAAGGTTCTAAATACTTTATCATCTAAGATTTATGCTAAGAAAAGATAGCCTTTTAGGCCAGGACTCTTCTAACAGAGGCGGTGGTTCCTCCATGATGAAATGTTCAGAAACAACTTCAAGGCAGTATTTCTAACTTTAAGACTATGAAAAAGGTCTCAAAGGTCAGCTCTTTCACACTGAATATTGTGATTAACAGTGCAAAATTGCCATCATTCGGTGGAAAGGTATTATTTTAAGTAGTTCACAAAATTGGTTTAGGGTGTGTTTTAAAATGTCTAAAGAAAACACAGCTTTTAAGAACCTGCTGCATTAAGCCGTGTAGAGCCACAGTCCTTAGTTAAAATAATAATAATAATAATAATGAAGTAGTCACTGCAAATAGAGTATTAAAAAAGAAGAGTGGGGGAAGGTAATTTAGTAATGTAAGTTAGTTATTAAGGAAAGTGGTTTCAGTCTTTTCCTCAGCTTTTTGTTTCTTAACTGTAAGTGATGAAAGCTATCAGAATTGTCAGTATAGTGCCTAAGCAAAAAGAATCAATCCCAATAGGATTGGCTTGAAATTTCTAAACTGGTTAATTCATAACAAACTTTATATTGTGGAAAGACAATTGGATTTGTAGTCAAAAGAACTAGGTTCAAATCCTAACTCTGCCTCTACTACCAACATTTAAATATGATTCCCATGCTTAAAATGAAAAGTAAGCTATACATAGTATTCACAGTTTCATGTATAATCTTTTTTTTTCTTTTGCTCTACTATGTATGTGGAAGTGTTTGTTTTATTTGGTGTTTAAAAGTTCAGAATAAAAGAATAAAAATATGTAACTCAATATTAAAAAAAAATAGAATCCCAAGGCTAAAGGTAGATTGTTTTTTAAAATCCAATCTGGTAGAGTGGGAAAAAATGTTGAACTTGGATCCAAAGGATCTGAGTTCAAATTTTGGTTCTTCCACTTACTACATTTGACTTTGGGCAAGTTACCCTCTCTGGACTTCAATTTCATTGTCTGTAGAAAGTGTGATTGGGCTAAGTTACCATTATTGCCTCTTTTAGCTCTTTAGTTATAATCTAAATATAACTTGATCAAAACCGATTATAGATCGTGGCTCCAAAAGAAATAGTCTTCTAATCAAACCCTTTCATTTTATAGATAAGCAATCTGAGGCTCATAGAGGTTAAGTAATTTTCCTAGGGTCACAGAAGTCCTAAATGGCAGGGTCAGGATTTAAACTCTGGTTCTTTGACTCTAAGTTCTGCACACTTTCCAAAGTACCACAATGGATTTGAAACACTAATTTATCTTTAGTCTTGGAATCATATTTAAATCAGACTTGTAGGCTAGCTAAACATTCACATACACTACTTCAATTTAAGCCTACATCATATTTAACATTTAGGTTTATGTTTAGAGTAGCTGAACTGCAAATGATTCTTGCCAATTATAAACTGAGACTACAAAGGTATGTCTGTAAACCGAAGTGCAAAGTATTAACTCATTGTTTAAAACTGTTCTGAATTAAGGAGGGACATTGGAAAATGTATGCAAGGTAAAAATAAAAGATAGCAATGAAATTAATTTTAAAATAAACTGTTACACCTGCTTCAACAGCCCTTTCCCACAAAGCCTATGGATATCTTAGAGCCCTGACTACAACAAAGAATAATAATAAAAAAAAAAAAGTCAAACCACCCTATGAAACGGAAAAAAATCAACAAAACCAATTAATACAATGAAAAAAAATCCTATCAATTGCAATATTCCACACCAGTGGACCCCCACCTCTGGGGGGGGGGAAGAAAAGGACAGATGTCTTCTCACATCTCTGGGGCCAAGTGTGTTCTTCATAATTTTATATTGCTCAATGCATTTTTAAGAGGGAATATAATCCTAAGGAATTAAACTTCAAGTCTGAAAAGAATAAATGCTAACTGTCATAGCCAGAGAGGCTGCTTGATCACAGGGATAACTTAAGAAAACCACTTTTCCTTAAAGAGACTATGAAGTCGATTAAAGACTAAGAAACTTCTTTCCTTAGAGAAGCTGCTTGAGGTACAGAAAGTACTATGACTTTCCTGCCATGGCTGTACTGACTCTCCAGACTTCATCCTGACTCAGCTGCCTTCTCACCCTGGAACATCTGCCATGCCAACCCTGCTCTTGCAAGGTAAATTCTATCTGGGGCCTACAGTTTGGGGACAAGCCTTAGGGTTGTGCATCATTCCTTTCTAGGCTTCACTTCTGACTCTCTGAACTTCACCACCATAGTACCACACAGACATCTAAATCCCCAATACTTAGCACAGGGCAAATATTACTGAATGATTGGTGCCTGCCCGTCACCCAAGAGAATTTTTTTAAACTGATAGTTAATTATTGTCTTGCAAGAAAAAGAATTCTTAAGAAGCTTTAATTACTATGCTGCTAGAGGTGTTTCTAGGTATTTACAGGGTTAAGAAGACATTAGTTGGAGTTGATGTTTCAGTGATCCTGGTTATGATCTTGTTCACCTCAATGCATTACTGAAATATTTAGATGTCTTTGTATTGTTTGTTATGTTATTAATAAACTGTATCATTAGTTATCCTAATGTTTATTTAAGTTTATGACAGAGGGGTTCGGACATACAGAGGTGAATAAAAGCTTAGGAGAAAATTAGCTTTTCTGGTTTAATTAATAAACAAGAGTGAGGTCTCAAAGGAAATTGACTAATTAATGAGAAAGACTGAATATCTACTAAACTATATCAAAATATAGTATTTTATGGCCTTGGAAACTGGGATAAGAATTTATAAGATGAGTCAAATAGGAGGTTGAAAGATAGGGGTTGGTGTGATTATTACCCAGCATAGATTGTTATTTAACGTCATTTACCAAACAGCTCACCAGTTAGATCCCACACAGGCTACACATGGGAGTCGGTTAGTTATTGCTAAAACCTGCTAAGGTAATAAAAGGCTATGTTCTTGTATTTCTTTTGTTTACAATAAATAAACACAGTGGGATCTTATAGCTTATATATTTTATATGCTTATATCTTTTAGTCAATCGTGAAACAGTAAAGATGTTCTCTACAGAATACTGCTTGCAAAAAACCTTTATTGTTCTCTAATAATGCCATCTGATATGTTCTATCAAGCTGGAAGTGCTTCACATAAAAAAATGCTCTAAATCACTAAGAGAAAAGTAAATTAAAGGAACTCTGATTACCAACTCATGCTCATCAGATTGGCAAAGTTGACAAAAAAGGAAAATGACTAAAGCTAGACAGAGTGGGGAAAACAAGTACATTAACATTCTGTTGGTGGATCTGTAAACTGGTCCAGCCATTGTGAAAAACAATTTGGAACTATGCCAAAAAAGCTATTAAATTTTGCATACCCTTTAAACCAGTGATGTATTTACTAGGTCCGTACCTCCAAAGCAATCAAAGAAAGAAAAGGAACCTTATGTACAAAAATATTTGTAGCAGCTCTTCCTTGTGGTAAAGCTTTGGAAACTGAGGAGATGCCATGGCTGGAAAAGTTATGGTAGATCAATGTTATGGAATACTATTACACTGTAATAAATGACAAAGGAGAGTTTCAGAGGAAGCTGGGAAGACTTGATCTAGAGTGAGGTGGGATGAACTGATCTAGAGTGAGATGAGCAGAACCAAGAGAACAACAATATAGTAACAACATCTTAACAACAAACAACTTTGAAAGACTTGGGAATTCTGATGAACACAATGACCAACCATAATTCCTAAGGACTCATGATGATACACTACTGCCTACCTCTTGATAGGTGACAGACTCGAGTATAGACTGAACCATATTTTTTTGGACATGGCCAATAGGAATTTGTTTTGCTTGATTATACATATCTGTAAGAGGGTCCCTCCACTTCCTTTCCTGATTGGGGAGGAGGGAAGAATTGAGGGGAAAAGGCAGATCTTCATTTGAAAATAAAATTAAAAAGTTTATAGGAAGGAAAAAAAGTTTGAAGGGTTCAAGGATGGTCCCAGCAACAGACTAAGCCCATTTTTATATCACTAGTAGGCTAGCTATTTGGTGATGAATTCTTTGGTCATGGCAATCCATGAAATAAATAAAAATACAAAAATGACACAGTGCTGTGTCTTCTAGTTCTGCAACAACAGTGGAAGACTGACTGAAAAGGGAACAAAATCACATGATTTTTAGATAATCTATAAACTTTAACTTGACTGTTGTTATTCTTTTTCTTTTTTCTTTTTTTTTGGAGGGGAGAATTATTGGTATTCTAAAGGCAAGCTCCTTTCCCAACATTCAATGAGTGGACATACTTAAGCAGGAGTTGAATGAGATCAATCTTGACATTCTTGCTATAAACAAAACCAGTAGAAAGAGGTAAGTTACAGCTAAATGGAAAGATGGTTCATGAATACCCCTTGGAGAGGCAAAGAAAGATAAATAAAGATAAATATGTTATATCCAAAGGCAACAAAAAACTATCTCAAGATATTTGGTCATCTTGTATTGCAGTATTTAAAAGTCAGTATTTGAAAGAAGACTGTCATGAATATAACTGAACCTTATGTACCAACATCACTGGCAGAAGATAAAGAGGTAGAAATATTCTACAAAGAACTCAATAAGACCTTCCAAATTAAATCAACATAAAATTTGATACTCCATGTTTTTAATGCAAATACGGGTATAGGTGAGGATTGTGAAAAACCTATTAGAAAGCACAGTTCACGATGAAGGAATGAAAAAGGCCAAAGACATATCCCAAACAGAAACCTTA